CAACATTTTCACTTAAGTCATTATACTCCCATTTAGGTCACAGCAGACACTCCTCTGCACTGAAGGATGGAATGATTAAATGCGAGGAATTTATTAAATAAGAGAAAATGTCCTTCCAGAAATAAACCCTTATATTTATGATCAAGTGATCTTCTTTTTCTTTTTTAAAGATTTTCTTTGAAAGAGAGAACACAAGCAGGGGGAGGAACAGAAGGAGAGGGAGAAGCAGACTCTCCACTGAACAGGAAACTTGATGTGGGGCTGATCCCAGGATCCTGGGATCATGACCTCAGCCGAAGGCAGACACTTAAGTGACTGAGCCACCCAGGCACCCCTTTCTTTTTCTTTTTAAGTAGGCTCCATGCCCAACGTGGGGCTTGAACTCATGATGCTCAGATCAAGAGTCCCATGCTCTACCAACTGAGCCAGCCAAGCACCCCTATGATCAATTGATTTTCAACAAAATTGCCAAGACAATTCAAAAAGTGAAATGGTCTTTTCAACAAATGGTGTTGGGACTAAATATACACATACAAAAGAATGAAGTTGGGTCCCTACCTTCAACCATATATAAAAATTAATTTGAGGACCTGGTTGGCTCAGTTGGCTAAGCATCTACCTTCGGCTCAGGTCATGATCTCAGTGTCCTGGGATCGAGCCCTGCAATGGGCTCCCTGCTCAGCAAGGAGTCTACTTGTCCCTCTGCCCCTCCACCCACTGTGCTCTCTCTCTCAAATAAATAAAATCTTAAGGAAAAAAAATAACTCAATATGGACAAACCACAGACCTAAATATAAGAGCTAAAACTATAAAACTCTTAGCAGTATACACAGATGTCAATCTTTGTGATCTTGGATCAGGCAATGGTTTCTTAGATATGACACAAAAAGCACAAGTGATGAAAGATAAAAATAGATACACTGATTTCATCAAGATTAAAACTTGTGCTTCAAAAGAGATCTTGAAGAGAATTGAAAGATGGTCTGCTGAATGGGAAAAAATATTTCCAATTGATATATCTGAAAAGGGATTTGAGTCTAGAATATATCTTAAAAACTCTTACACTTGATACCAAAGCTAGACAAAGACATTGTAAGAAAAGAAAAATTACAGACCAATATCCCTTACAAATATTGATAGAAAAATCCTCAAAAAATACTAGCAAACCAAAGCAGCATATTAGAAGGGTTATACACTATGACCAAGTGGGATATATTCCTGGAATATATATATCTATATATCTATATAGATATATCTATATAGATATATATCTATGCTCAGCAGTGAGTCTGCTTCTCCCTCTGCCTCTGTGCTCCCTCTCCCTTTGTGCTCTCTCTTTCTCTCAAGTAAATAAATAAAATCTTTAAAAAAATAAACTGACAAAGAATAAAATGCAAACAAATTTTAAGTGTGTATTTGCTGAGTGTTGGCAATGCTTACACCCAAACCTCTATCAGGATATAGAACATTACCATCACCCAACAAAGTTCCCTTCCTGGTTAAACCCATCCCCATCCCGCCAGAGACAACTCCTGCTCTAATTGTGTCCCCACCACAGATTCATTTACCCTGTTATAAAACGTCATATAACTGGAATTCTACAGTGTGTACTCTTCTGTCCATGGCTTCTTTCATTCAGCATAATCTCTTTGAGTAATGCTTCTTTCGGATCTTCAATTTTTTTTTATTCATGAGAGACAGAGAGAGAGAGAGAGGCAGAGGGAGAAGCAGGCTCCCAAGGAGCAGGGAGCCTGATGCGGGACTCGATCCCAGGACCCTGGGATCATGACCTGAGCCGAAGGCAGACGCTTAACCATCTGAGCCACCCAGGCACCCCAGATCTTCAATTCTTGAATTCAGAGCTGGGAGACTGCTCCCACACCCAATACAGTACCTGATAAAGCTCAGAAATAGCTCCTCAGTAAGGTTACCTGGATTAGTTTCCCATTGCTACTACAAGAAATTACCAAACTAGGTGGTTTAAAATAACACAAATTTATTATCTTACAATTCTGTAGGTCAGAAGTGTGAAAACAGGTCTTACAGAACTAAAATCAAGGTGTTAGCAAGGTTGCATTTGCCAATCTCTAGGGGAGAATCCTTTCCCTGCCTTTTCCAGCCTCTAGAGGCTGCCCAAAGCCCTTGGTTTGTGTCCCCTTTCCAGCAATCCATCACTCCCACCTGTTTTTGTTGTCACATCTTTTTCGACTTTGATCTTCCTGCCTCCTCCCTCCCATTTTTTTGTTTACATAAATTAACTCATTTATTATAGGCTAGCAATGTTTCAAATGAAAAAAATTCCTTCAGTCTTCTGATGGACAACAGAGGCAGTCTTGTAGGTCCAGGCACCACTACCTATCATTTTCATGCAGGAACCACAATGCCAGATTGTCACAGCTCGTGTTTTCATCTTTGGTTTGCCACAGAAGGAGCAAAAATGTACTTGGTGTGCTGGCTTATTTCAATTTTTTTTTTTTAAGGTTTTATTTCAGAGAGTGAGAGAGAGAGAGAGAGCATGAGTTGGGGGGTAAGGAGCAGAGAGAGAGGGAGAAGCAGACTCCCCACAGAGCAGGGAGCCCGATGCGGGGCTAAATCCCAGGACTCCAGGACCATGACCTGAGCTGTAGGCAGAGGCTTAACCGACTTAGTCACCCAAGCGCCCCTTATTTTGATTTTCTTCATCATTTTCCTGACGGAGGCACCATAATGGGTCCTGTATTTACTGACAATTCTGACCTTCTTGGTGCATTTTAGTCATGTCGCTGCAAACTAGCTCCGAGCCCAGAGGAGCCTCCTATCTCTCTTTTATAAGGATCATTGTAAGTACATTGGACACACTGGGATAATTCAAGATAGTCTTCCCATCTGAAAATCCTTAGATTGATCACATCTGCAAAGTCCTGTTTGCCAATATAACATATTCACAGGTTTCAGGGATTAGAACATGGACATCTTTGGTGTCCATTACTCTGTCTGCCATGTCACCTGAATAAATAAAAGACCTTAAAACCACGCTTCTCAAAACTGGGCAGCTTGAAGATACAAAATAAATATATCTTCTGGATATCAATGCTTCTTGTGGATTTGGGAGAAAATCTTCTTTGAATCAGCAATTCTGCTTCTAGAATTTTATTCTACAGACATGCTAATATATGCATCTAAAGAAGTATATCTAAGGATGTGATTACAGTATCTTATGGTAGTAAGACCGGAAACAAACTAATTGCTCATCAACAGAAAATGAACTAAATAAACTGTTTTATCCATATAGTGGAACACTATGTATGCCGCCATTAAAAAAAGCAATCTATATGTGCTGAAATTAAACAATCTAGAAGATGCATCAAGTGAGAAAAGAAAGCAAAGTGAACAGGATGTTTATTATGCTACTTGTGAAAAAAAAAAAAAAAAGTATGTTTTTATGTACCTAAATTATCTCCAGAAGGACACAAGAAGCCGGTAACAGAGGTTGTCTCTAGGAAGGGGGAGGAAAACTAGAGGGAGGAGACTTTTTTATTTAGTTGAAGCATAACACACATACATAAGTGTGCAGGTTAATTTTCACAAATGGAACACTTCTGTGTAACCAGCATCTAGATCAAGAAACAGATTATCAGCACTTTACAAACAAAAAACTTGGATTAGTAATAGCTTGGATTAGTTTTGCCAAATTTTATGTTTTATATAAATGGAATCACATATTACATATTATTTTGTGTCTGGCTTCTTTTGCTCAACACCATGTCTGCAAGATTCATCCACATTATGCTTGTAATTCTATATCATTCATTCTCATTTCTGAGCAGTATTCTACGAATAGTATTCTGTAAATAGTATTCCCATGAATATTCCACAATATTTTAATTCGTTTTTCTACTGTTGTGGATAGTTTCCAGGTTTTGCCTATTGCAACTAGTGTTGCTGTGAACATTTGAGCACATGTCTTTCAGTAAACATATGTATGCACATTTGTTGGGTAGACAGGGAGAAGTGGTATTGCTGGGTCATAGGTATGCATATATTTAGCTTAAGTAGATACTGCCAGTTTTCCAAAGTAGTTGTACCAACTTACACTCCACCTGTAGTGTAAGAGCGTTCAACATTTGCAAATCTTACTTTTGACTATGCATTCTATTGAATGTGGTTATATTATGAAATAGAATGCATAGCCACATGAATTGTAAAACTATACTATGTCTTCAAAGTGGCTGCACTGTGGGGATGGTCAGCTTTTTTGTTATATCTCTAGAACTTTCCTTCGCTGCTCCTATGAATGTTAGTTGTTAAAGTCTGAAAAACAGATTAAGAGATGATCTGATTCGTTTCCCAGTTTTATTACTCATTTATAAGCTGTAATTTAAACACAAGTTTTCCGATTGAGACAGGGTACAGTAAGCACTTAGCTAAGCCTTAGCACTTAGCTGAACCTGGAAGCCAGAAAATAACTTTGAATCTGGCTCTGCCGCCGATGAGCAGTCACCTAGGCTTTCTGTTCCTCAGCTGCTGCGTCTGTGAAAGGCAAGACATCTGTGATCTCGGGGCATGGGTCAAATCAAATACCGGTAAGAACCGGGGTAGCCTTGCCCTGAGTACCCAGAGCAGGCGGGGACGGGCCATCCCTTACTTACAACATCTCCAGAATCGGCCTGAATCTTAGCCCGTCGGCTTTTACTCACCTCCAAGCCCGGGACATCGGCATCTGCTAGCAACAGGCCTCATGTAGTAGTAGAAGGGAATAGCTCCAACCCGTCAAAATCTCTTTTTTTAGGACCTGTCCGGGAAAAGCCAGGTGAAAAGAGAGCCTATTGTCCCTCAGCGCCCGCCACCTTCAGACCAGTCGCTCCCTTCCCTTCAGCCTTTCAAATAGGCCGCTCCGGCACGACCAATCACAGCCCTCCTTCTTCTCCGGTCCACCCAGCGCTGTCCAATCAACGCACGTCATCTACGGTTTGCTGCGCTGCGGCTCCAACCTCCCTTCTGGTTTTCCCCTTGGTACCTAACCGCAGACCGGAAAGGCAAGGGAGATTGAGGCCGGAGGGACGCCATGTTGGTCAAGGGCAGTGCGCTGGCCCTTAAGGACTTCTTCAGAAGCCAGGAAAGCTCTAGCGTTTCCACATATTCCGGAAGCCTCTCTTGGCGTAGCACTGGAGAGCTTGCCCATGGCGCCGCCCCTGGCCCCTCTCCCGGCGGATGTACCCGGGGAGGCCGGGAGAGGGCCGACGAGAGAAAGCAGCCCCGGGGCCGTGAGCTTCGCGGACGTGGCCGTGTACTTCTCCCCCGAGGAGTGGGGCTGTCTGCGGCCCGCGCAGAGGGCCCTGTACCGGGATGTGATGCCGGAGACCTACGGCCTCTTGGGCGCGCTTGGTGAGGCCCGGCGGTCCAGCCAAGACCCAGTAATACGTGGGAAGCGGGGACTAACTTATGTCCCCAGACACAAGTGGGCTGGAAGTGTCGGGCACTGAGGAAGCACCCTCATCCTTCCCTCTCGGGTTCTCAGCCGAACCCAATGTTTCCCCTCCGCAGGATTTTCAGGCCCTAAACCCGCTTTTATTTCTTGGGTGGAAGGAGAGGTGGAGGCGTGGAGCCCGGAGGCCCAGGATCCAGAGGGTGAGACCCCAGCAGCTGTCACCAGAGACAGGGGTAAGGTAACAGGTACTTCACTTCAAACCCAGTATGGGACCTTTGAGAACCCCCCCCAACTCGGATCCACAGTACACACCGCCTCCTCCAAAGCCCCGTCGTGTCTCCCTACACCTCATCTCCAGAAAGTATCAGTGTCACTGCAGAATGGCTCATAGAAGAGCTAAAATGGGACTTACAGCACCACTTAATTAATCAGGGAATCCCCAGTTTAGTGCAAAATAGTGCCTGAGTTGCCAGGGCAGCCAAGGGAAAGGAGAAACACATCCGTAATTTGGTTTTTGTTGTGTAATAAAATGAAGACAAATGTTCCTTTTGGCTATTATGTGGATCACACTGTAATGTCATTCATCAGCGATCTTAAAATCAAGAAAAGGTGTTTTCTCTGCAGCCATGTCATAATAAATGCTTGTTCCCAGGTCTTCCCGTGGAACCTGGAGTACAGTCCAAGTGTAGACATTTTGGCGATGGCCTTGAATGGCACCAAGGGAGATCATTTAATGGCTATTTTGCAAAGGGATCATAAACAGGTTCAGGACCGTAAGCTCTATGAAGGCTGGGACCATCACCACCCTCATTGCCTGAGAGTAGGGGTTCAATATTATTGACACCTCCATTTATTTCCAGTTTTCAGAGCTTTCTTGTGTTAACACCAGCCAGACGATGAATTTTGCTTTTACTCCAGGATGGCTTTCTGGGCTTGATGAGGCCCCAGTCTCAAAGACTGCCATATACTCAGACACTCATGCTGCCTCCCAGGGAAGGCCACTGTATGGAACGTGCTCCTGAGTTTCAAGTTTTATCTTTTTCCCTGTCTCAGGATCCAGGGATGAGAGTGAAGAGAAAGAAGAACTGAAGAAGAGTCCAAAGCAAAAAGAGATGGAGCATGAGGAAGTGTCTCTCAAGAAGTGGTTACCATCCAGCAGGCCATCTGGTGCCAATCACAGAGCCTCCTGCCCAGCGCTCTGCTGGAACTCAGGGCAGAGCCCAGTCAAGCCTTGGTTCAAGGACACCACGACCCGCAAATCACCCTACTCTTGCCCAGACTGTGGCCGCAACTTCAGCTACCCCTCCCTCCTGGCCCACCACAAGCGGGTCCATTCTGGGGAGCGGCCCTTCCCCTGTGACCAGTGCCAGGCTCGTTTCTCCCAGCGCAAGTACCTGCTCCAGCATCAGGTCATCCATACAGGTGAAAAGCCCTACTCCTGCCCTGACTGTGGACGACGTTTCCGCCAGAGGGGTTCCCTGGCCATCCATAGACGGGCTCACAGCGGGGAGAAGCCCTACCCATGCCCAGACTGCAAAAGTCGCTTCACTTACCCCTACCTGCTAGCCATCCACCAACGCAAGCACACAGGCAAGAAGCCCTACAGCTGTCCCAGCTGCGGTCTCCGTTTTGCCTACAGCTCCCTGCTGGCTATCCACAGGCGCACACATACGGGCGAGAAGCCCTACCCTTGCCCAGACTGTGACCTCCGCTTCACCTACTCATCTCTCCTCCTCAGTCACCAGCGCATTCACTCTGACAGCCGGCCCTTCCCCTGTCCACAGTGTGGGAAAGGCTTTAAGCGCAGGTATGCCTTGGAAGCCCATCAGTGGGTCCACCGCTCTGGCAAGAGGCTGAGGTGGCGACGGCCTGCAGTAGGGCTCTCGGAGCCGATCCTTGTTTTGGGAGGCCAGGATCCCCCAGTTCATTTCCGGTACTTTCCAGATATATTTCAAGAATGTGGGTGATAGGGCGCCTGGGTGGCTCAGTTGGTTAAGCGACTGCCTTCAGCTCAGGTCATGATCCTGGAGTCCCGGGATCGAGTCCAATATCGGGCTCCCTGCTCAGCGGGGAGTCTGCCTCTCCCTCTGACCCTCCCCCCTCTCATGCTCTCTCTCTCTCTCATTCTCTCTCTCAAATAAATAAATAAATAAATAAAAATCTTAAAAAAAAAAAAAGAATGTGGGTGATAGAGCTCACAAGAGATGTTTTCTTTGGAAGGGAAAAGGCAAAGTTTATACATTTGGGGGATAAGGAATGGAAAGGAAGTAGGCATTGAAGGAAAACAAAGCTCTGAGTTAAGGGAGCACAGAGCTGGTCCTTTGGAAGGAGGCAGGAATCTGAAAGGCCACCTGAAGGCTGACCCCATTTTCTGAGGCTCCTGCTCCCACTTCCAAGTCCCACTTGGAGTTTCTTCCCAGCAAATCATTTACCTACCTGGCTTCCCCTCCCCCCCCGGATTGTTCTCTCCATTAGACCATTCTGCTTTCTGGCCTGTAACTCTCCTGTTCCTCAGAGATGGGGTCCCCACATGCAAGAACACACCTTGGGCCTATCCCCTGGGGGGCGGGGGGAAGCTCATCCAAGGATTCTTTTACCCAGTGCCGATGAGACATCTAGCAAGGAGACGCATGCGGTGTCAAGCCACTGTTGGCACTCTTTGGTCTTAAAATCTTGAAGGTGACCATAGGGAGGAGAACAATGGCTTCAGGTGGGGAACCATCCTGCCCCATGCTCTCCGCTCTTAGTGCACAAAAGTGTCAAGCTTAGCGTAAAGGGTTTTTTTTCCCCCTCAAACTTTTATGAATTAGTGATTGCAGTGTTTTTCTCTTCAGATATTTGCATGTCGTCCGGATTTTACATCTCCTGAATAAAGAGCTACAGCAACTGGAAACATAATGTTGGCACTTCTATTTAGGAGAGTAAGTTACTTGTGATTAGGCTTGAAATCAAGGCCAAGTATCTCCAGTGTAGTTTTTAGTGTAATGCTTGTATGTGTCAGCAGTTAAGAGGGGTCTTTCTGACCCACTTTGATCTGCTAGCCGTACTTCTGATCAGGAGACTATTGATGGAATAAGGACGTGGGTGGGACTAAGCACAGCTGCATGCTAGGAGTGGTCCTGGGGGACTCAGTTATCTCTGTGAACAAGAGACTGCTCTTGGAACCCCTGGGTTCCAAAGATGATTATGAATGGAAACTGGGTGTTATTTTACCACACCACATAGGCTCTCCTGAATTGGTAGACCTAGATTCCAGGTTTGGCTCAGTCCCCACTAGCTGTGGGGCCGTAAGCCTATCATTCAACCTTTCTAAGCCTTCATTGTCTCGCTTGGCAACTCCACAGGGTTGTCTGAGATAAAACATGAAAGCACCTCACAGATCGTCGTAGTTTGAAGAACAAGTGGCTGAGTGCCCCCACAACGTTTTACTAACATTTTTCGTTCAAAAGAGTTGTAAGAATTTTTTGGGTAACACTCACACCCTTTCTATAATTAATCTAGGTTCTATAATTGTGCTACATTTGCTTTATCACATGTCAATCGATGAATCCATCCCCTGTTCATTTATACATCTTATTTCACAGTAAGTTGCAGGCATCATTATACTTCATCCCTAAACACTTCAATGGAAGGCTAAGCTTTATGCAAGAAACTTTAGCTCTCCCTTAAAATTCAGATACGCTGGCGCGCCTGGGTGGCTCAGTTGGTTGAGCCTTGGACTCTTGGTTTCAGCTCGGGTCGTGATCTCAGGTTTGTGAGATGAGCCCTGTGTGGGGCTCTGTGCTCAGTGTGGAGTCTGCTTGAGATTCTCTCCCTCCCTGTGCCCCTACCCCTGCTCGCTCTCACTCTCTCAAATAAATAAAATCTTTTTTTTTTTTAAAGATTTTATTTATTTGACAGAGAGAGAGACAGCGAGAGCCGGAACACAAGCAAGGGGATGGGAGAGGGAGAAGCAGGATTCCCTCTGAGCAGGGAGCCGGATGTGGGGCTCAATCCCAGCACCCTGGGATCATGACCTGAGCCGAAGGCAGATGCTTAATGACTGAGCCACCCAGGCGTCCCTCAAATAAATAAAATCTTTAAAAAAAAATTCAAAATGCAGCTTGTTATACACAAGTAAAATTTATGAACTGTATCATTGTATGTTTTATAATTTCTTATAATTATGTCTGATTAAGATTCTGGAACAAACATACAGTTTGGTGGGCAATAAAACAATTTGAAAGCAAGAGCATCTTTGTATTTTTATAATGTTTGGCAGGAAAAACAACATAACATCAGCCACTTAGGATGGGGCAGTTTTAGTCTTGAACCTTTGTTTCAATCTCATTAGTTAACACCCAGTTCGTTGTTTAGCTCCATCTCCTTAAGTTTTCTCTATCCCTGGTGCAAAAAGAAGTGATTTATAACATACTACCTGAGTAAACAAAGCTATTTTTTGGTCCAGGTGAAATCCTTTGTAGTTTCTCTTTAGGTAAAGTTGATACTCCGTTTAGAAGGAGACTCCTATCTGAAGATACATTTTTCCTTATTCCATTTCTACACTATTCACCACAATGAGTGCAGTGAGGTCCCTCCGGGGCTCAAGTTTAAAAAGTTACAAAACAAGCAGGTAATTGTTGAGATGAAATCAGCAGAAGTCATACCAAAAGCCAGAAGTATTCCAGGTGAAAAACAGCAAGGGTGGGGCAAGAACATATAAAGACGGAGAAGGCACTAACTTAGCAATGAAGGACATTTGTGAACACAAAGGAGAGACAGCGTGTGCTAGGGCAGGCAGGAGATCCAAGGTTCCGAGACCAGATAGTGGACTGCTGTCAACAGAGATGTAGGTTTTGTTCGTTAATCCAACGACTAGCCCCATGCTTAGCAAATAGCACCTGGCATCCTGCCTGATTGCAGGAATATTCCCAATGGGATAAAGCTACCTAGTATCTAGGGACGCCTGGGTGGCTCAGTTGGTTAAGCGGCTGCCTTTGGCTCAGGTCATGATCCCAGGGTCCTGGGATCGAATCCCGCATCCGGCTCCTTGCTCAGCAGGGAGCCTGCTTCTCCCTCTGTCTGCCGCTCTCCCTGCTTATGCTCTCTCCATCTCTCTCTGACAAATAAATAAAATCTTAAAAAAAAAAAGCTATCTAGTATCTATAGTCCAATGCCACAAACCATTAAGATGATCCATCTCCACTAAAAAATAGGAAGATATTGAAACTAGGAAGCAGAGGATACAATTCAGGACAGTAGGGAAGTCAGACCCTGGATGACAGCTGAGGCCCAGGCAAGTCTGGAGAGAGAACACCAAGGGGTCAAGGAAGGAGGTTTCCCAGGGAAAAAATGGTAATCTGAGATTTGATGGTATCCCTGGTAATTTAAAACAACTTAAAGAAGCAGAGGGGCGCCTGGGTGCCTCAGTCAGTTAAGCGTCTGCCTTTTAGCTCAGGTCACAGTCTCGGAGTCCCAGGATTGAGCCCAACCATCAGGCTCCGAGCTCAGCAGGGAGTCTGCTTCTCTCTCTGCCCCTGACCCGCTCACGCTTGTCTCTCTCTCAAATGAATAGATAAAATCTTTAATAAAAAACAAAAACAAAAAACGGGGGCATCTGGATGGCTCAGTTGGTTAAGTGTCTGCCTTTGGCTCGGGTCATGATCCCAGGGTCCTGGGATCGAGTCCCGCATCAGGCTCTGCTCAGAGGAGAGTCTGCTTCTCCCTCTCCCTCTGTGATCTCTCTTGATTTCACTCTCTCAAATAAATAAATAAAATCTAAAAAAAATAAAAATTAAAAAAAAGCAGAAAGCACAGATAATGCAACTGAAAGGGAATACAACTGGAAATTTTAAAAAAGGCCAACAATCAGAATGGCAATCATATTACAATATATAAATTTATCAAAACAACATGTTGTACACCTTACATTTACACATGTTCTATGTCAAGTATGTTTCAGTAAAAAAGAGCAAACAGTTGACAAGAAAGGAAACATAATCATAGCATGTACAGGACTTTTTTTTTTAAGATGTTATTTATTTATCTAGCTGTTCATTTATTTATTTTAGATAGATCTCACGCGTGCAAGCAGGGGAAGGGGCAGACGGGGAGGGAAGAGAACAAGCAGACTTTGCGCTGAGCACGGAGCCTGATATGGGGCTGGATCTCAAGACCCTGAGATCATGAGCTGAGCTGAACTCAAGAGTCGGATGCTCAACCTACTGACACACCCAGGCGCCCCAGGAAATTTCATAATAATTTATTGCATTATGTTGGGAAAAGAGGTGAAGGAGATGGGGCTAGAAACTGAGCAAGTATCATAGCAATATGCCCACAAATAATTTCTAAAATGAATATATCAAGGGATGCTTGGGTGGCTCAGTCGGTTAAGCATCTGCCTTTGGCTCAGGTCATGATCCCAGAGTCCTGGGATCAAGTCCTGCATCGGCCTCCTTGCTCAGTGGGGAGTCTGCTTCTCCCTCTACCTGCTGCTCCCCCTGCTTGTGCACATGCTCTCTCTCTCTCTGACAAATAAATAAAATGTTTAAAAAAAAATACAAAAAATTCATATATCAAGAAACAAGAGTAAAAGCATTTTTTTTAAGAACTTTTTTTGAGAGAGAGAGAGAGAGCATGTGTACACAAGGTGGGAGCAAGCAGGGGTTGGGGGTGGGCAGAGGGAGAGAATCTAAAGCATATTTTTTTTTAAGATTTATTTTTGACAGACTGTATAAGCAAAGGAAGCAGCAGGCAGAGGGAGAGGGAGAAGCGGGTCCTGGGATCGAGGCCCGCATTGGGCTCCCTGCTCAGCGGGAACCCTGCTTCTCCCTCTCCCACTCCCCCTGCTTGTGTTCCCTCTCTCGCAGTCTCTCTCTCTGTTAAATAAATAAAATCTATAAATACATACATACATACATACATAAATGCAAGCTCCAGAAGAAAGGCTAAGAGTTAAAAGTGTATTGATTCAGTTTGTGAAAATGAAAAAGTTTTAGAGAGGGTGATGGTGATGGTTGTGCAACAATGTGAATGTACTTAATACCACTGAACCGTACACTTAAAAAATGGTTAAGATGGCAGTGAAATAAGTTAGACACAAAAGACAGGTGTTATACAGTTCCACTGACATGAGGTACCTAGAACAGGGAAATTCATAAGCACATAAAGCAAGCTGGAAGTTACCAGGAGCTGGGGAAAAGAATGGGGAGCGACCACCTTGTGGATTCCCAGTTTCCTTTTGCAGTGGTGAAAATATTTCGGAAAGAGTGGTGATAGACGCACAGCATGTATGTAATTAATGCCACTGAACTGTAAACTTAAAAATGATTAAAGTGGCAAATACTATGTCTTGTATATTTTACCACAATTAAAAAAAATAATGTAATATACCCAAACGCATTGAACTGTACAATTTAAATGCATGAATTAGGGGCGCTTGGGTGGCTCAGTTGTCAAGCATCTGCCTTCGGCTCAGGTCATGATCCCAGGGTCGTGGGATCGAGCCCTGCATTAGGCTCCCTGCTCTGCGGGAAGCCTGCTTCTCCCTCTCCACTCCCCCCTGCTTGTGTTCCCTCTCTCGCTGTGTCTGTCAAATAAATAAATAAAATCTTAAAAAATAAATAAATGCATGGATTATCTAATGAGTGAATTTTATCTCAAAACGATTAAACAAAATGCCTTACACAAATGCTCACCGCAACATGAAAAGTAAAAACAACTCAAATTTCCATCAACTGATGAATGGGTAAACAAAATATGGTATACAGGTGTCCCCTCATTTTTCTTTTTTTTTTTTTTTAAGATTTTATTTATTTTGAGAGAGAGGGAGAGAGCACAGTGGGGAGGGGCAGAGGGAGAGGGAGAGAGAAACACAAGCAGATTGAGCACGGAGCTGGACACAGGGCTCGATCCCACAACCCCAAGATCAAACCTGAGCCAAACCAAGAGTTAAATGCCCAAAGGACTGCATCACCCAGGTGCCCCAGTTGTCCCCTCACTTTTCAGAAGCTCCCATTAGGCCACTTCATTTTAAGAAAAACCTACATTAGTACCTGTTTTCACTAACCAAAAGAAATCTGAAGAGGATTTTTACTTTTAGAGGCAGCTCACACCCCAAGCAGGGAGACTGGCCCCACCAAGCTCCTTCCCAAGGAGCTACACTCAGCCTCTCAGCATCAAGCTATTAGAGCTTTGAAATATGTGAGCATCTGTGCTTGGCCTACATTTATCCTGTGCATCTTTTAGCAAGATGTGTCCTAAGGTATCAGTAGAGCCTTAAGAGAGGTTATTTTTGGAGTCTGGGAATGCTCAAAAATTTTTCCATATGAATTAATGGTAATTACTTCTTTGCTTTACACCATTTCAGCTTATGAAAGTTTTCATAGAAATGTTCTACTTTGGGACAGCAGGGGAAACCTGTATCCATATAATGGAATATTATTCAGCCATAAAAAAGGAGTAAGATACTGATAAATGCTACATCGATGAACCTTGAAAACATTTTGCTGTCACGAACCAGACACGAAAGGCCACATATTGCATGATTCCATTTATAAGAAGTATCCAGAAAAAGTAAATCCACAGAGACAGAAACATTCGTGATTGTCAAGCAATGGAGGCAGGGAGAATGGGGAGTGGCTATTTCTTTCTTTTCTTTTTTTTTAAGATTTTATTTATTTATTTGAGAGAGAGAGAATGAGAGATAGAGAGCACGAGAGGGAAGAGGGTCAGAGGGAGAGGCAGACTCCCTACTGAGCAGGGAGCCCGATGTGGGACTCGATCCCAGGACTCCAGGATCATGACCTGAGCCGAAGGCAGTCGCTTAACCGACTGAGCCACCCAGGCGCCCCGGGAGAGGCTATTTCAAGGGTAGGGAGTTTCCTTTAGAGGTGATAAAAATAGTGATGATAGTTGCATATTGTTAATGTCCTAAATGCTACTGAATTGTAAGGTCTAAACTGGTTAATTTTTGTTACGTGTATTTTACTACAGTGAAAAGTTGTGTAGTGACTGAAAAGTGCACAACGAAACATGCAGGGGTCATCAATGCTCTATATTTTGTTCTGGGTGACGGTTAACACGGTTGTATGCATTTGTCAAAACTCAGCGAAGTTTACACTTAAGAACTGTGCATTTTACTGTATGTATGATATAATTCAGATTCATAAAAAGAGTTCAACAAAGTGGTCTTTAGGGAACAAGGTGAAAGGATACAGGGGGCTGCCTTTTTCATTATAATTTTGAATTACTTTTTAAAAAACCATGCACAGTGATTTGCTGAAAATTAAAACGTAATGTAAAATTTCCCCACTCCGATTCCAACCTCACCAAGCAAAGTTCCTCCCCCTAAGCTCCAGTCCAGAAACTGAGAGCCGTCCCGCGGGTGCAAGGAGTCGGGCGCGCCCCGCAGCCGTGGTCTCAACGGTAAACCGTGTACCTGGTTTTACCTCGGCTGTCCCCAGGGTTTGGCCAGGGTATGTGCGTCTCTCACAGGGGCTAGGGACGCGATTCCAGATCCTGCCGTCGGGAGGCATGGAGGGAGACCGTCGAGGGCACAGTCCCGAGTTCCACAGACGCGGAGGGACTCCATAGGTTCCAAAGCTAGGTGACCGAGGTGCGCTTTCCAACGCCCCGCCAACCCGAGGCCTGGCGGCGCAGCCTCTTCCTGCTCTGTGGGCCAATCACCGGCCGCCGGGCAGCGCGGGCAAAGAGCGGTGCTGGAAGCCACGGCCCGTCCATCTTTCTTGAGGGCAGGAAGGCTCCGCCCCCTCAGTCCATTTTTCCGAGTTCCATCTCCGCCTCGCCTAAACCACCCTCCCCCGCCCCCCTGCAGCGGCCATTGTAGTTGAGGGCAAGTGGCCGCTGAGGCCAGAGAAGCCAGACAGGCGCCATGTTTGATATGATCAAGGAATGGCGCCCTTAAGAGCATCCAGTGACAACTAAAGCCAGGATGTCGCCATATTTTCTGAAGACACCTTCCGGGTCCCTTAACCCGGCTGTCTAAGTCCAAGCTGCCATGAAGTGAATAAACACCGAGGGGTTTTGTTTGTCCCCGTCACAACCCCCGAATCCCTCGCAGGCAGTCCCTGCTACCTCGGTGCCCTCGACTGCGTTCGGACGCCAAGGCTGGGCGGGGCCCCGACCTCCGGAGCCCTTGCTGTGGACGACGAAAGCTGAGGCCGCGCGCGGGGAGGCGGTGGCCTCGGGGACAAGGCGGCCGCTACTCGGGGCCGGGAGGCCCCATGGCGCCGCCCCCAGCCCCGCTTCTGGCGCTGAGACCGGGGGAGACCGGGCCTGGTTACAAGAAGCCCGGGGCCGTGAGCTTCGCGGACGTGGCCGTGTACTTCTCCCCGGAGGAGTGGGGCTGTCTGCGGCCCGCGCAGAGGGCCCTGTACCGGGACGTGATGCGGGAGACCTACGGCCACCTGGGCGCGCTCGGTGAGGCCCCGGGTCAGAGCCCCCCTCCTCCACTGGGGTTCACAGGGGAGATGACATGAGGACCGAGATGATTGTGAGCCCTAATCCCACACTATTCCACCAACAGCACCAGCCACCTCCATTCCCAGGGCTTCAGGTTAGGGAGTGCTTCCACCTGGCATCTGCTTCCTTCAGGCAGGAGCATTGCAGACCCTGTCCAGGTTGAGCCTAAGTTCTGAGGAGGTGCCCTTACCCTGGCAGGGGGTTGCCATCTGCCCAGGACAGCCTCTCAGGCCAGCACTGTGATCCCTGTTCTCTCCCAGGATTCCCAGGCCCCAAACCAGCCCTCATCTCTTGGATGGAACAGGAGAGTGAGGCTTGGAGCCCCGCCGCCCAGGATCCTGAGGAGGGGGAAAGCCTGGGAGGAGCTCTGAGAGGTGAGGGATTGTCCCAAGTCTCCCCCCACTTGGCGCTCCAGGGCTTCCTGTCTCACAAAATTTTCCTTTGGATCCCCACTTCCAGCAACCCTAAAGGAATTAAAGAGCCCCCCGATGTTGGATACTAAAGGAGGAAAGAAGGCAGATCTGTCATTTTAGGACCAGAGTAGGAGAATCAGGAACCCAAGTCCCAAACTCAGGTTTCTAGGGCCCTCTTGGAGAAAACACCACTCATTCTCCCCTTTTCAAGAACGACTAAAACCCCCTAGGAATGGAAGCAGCTTCAGGTCCTCCTTTCACATTCCTCAAGCAAGGCAAAGTGGTACAAGAGGAGATGCCCAATAATCAACAGGGTGGCTCTTCTCCCCATCCCCTAGCCGAGTGATCTTGAGCAAATATGTTTCCTCATCTGCAGAAGTCTTGTCCTATAAAAAATCGAGCAAACACAGTAATACTAGCTATTGTTTTATTGAGCATTTACTAAATGCCTAACATGCTTCTCCTGATTTAATCCTCCTAACCCTGTGAAGTAAAGAAACCACTGATTCCCATTTGAAACATGAGAGGCAAGGCCCGGATAAGTCACTCTTAGGACTGTGAACCTTGTTTATCATCCTGCAAAGACTGTGTGTCAATTGCTGGGCAGTACTTTTCTGCCACTTCCCGAAGTATAAGAACGCTATAACCTGAGATGGTGTAAGCAAATATGTTTTAAAATGTATCTTGGGGGACGCCTGGGTGGCTCAGTCGTTAAGCGTCTGCCTTCCGCTCAGGTCATGATCCCAGCGTCCTGGGATCGAGCCCCGCACGGGGCTCCCTGCTCTGCAGGAGGCCTGCTTCTCCCTCTCCCACTCCCCCTGCTTGTGTTTCCTCTCTCGCTGTCTCTCTCTGTGTCAAATAAATAAATAAAATCTTAAAAAAAAAAAAAATGTATCTTGGGACACCGGGGTGGCTCAGTCGGCTCAGGTCATGATCCCAGGGTCCTGGGATGAGTCCCGCATCGCACTGGGCTCCCTGCTCAGCAGGGAGCCTGCTTTCCCTCTCTCTCTGCCTGTCGCTCTCCCTTTTGCTCTATCTCTCTGTCAAATAAATAAAATATTTAAAAAATAAAATGTATCTTAATTCCCGTTTCCCAGGAGACACCCCAAACAAGAAGGAAGAGGCACCGCAGGAAGGGTCAGGAGCCAAGGGACCCAGAAAGCCTCCCGGGAAGGAGCCTTCTAAAGAGCTGGTTAAACAGAGCCCTAACTGGACCATCGGAAAAGTTTCGGCCAGAGCACAGCGGCCCACGAGCGCTGCCTGCAGCCAGAGCACAGGCGCGCAGCCGTCCGGCCCGGCCCCTGGCGTGGGCACGCAGGACAGCCAGCGGCGTCACGTGTGTGCGGACTGTGGCCGCCGCTTCACCTACCCCTCACTGCTGGTCAGCCACCGGCGGATGCACTCGGGGGAGCGGCCCTTCCCCTGCCCGGAGTGTGGCATGCGCTTCAAGAGGAAGTTCGCCGTGGAGGCGCACCAGTGGATCCACCGCTCCTGCTCCGGCGGGCGGCGGGGCCGGAGGCCTGGGATCCGGGCTGTGCCTCGGGCTCCGGTGAGGGGTGACCGGGACCCTCCCGTGCTGTTCCGACACTACCCGGACATCTTTGAGGAGTGCGGGTGAGCTGCTCCCGCAGGCTGGGGTTGAGCCTGACCTTGGACTGCCTGAGCCCTGAGGGAGGCTCCGGAGGCCGGGACTTGGGAACCGAAATTCATCCCTTGGGCTTCCCTCAAGGATCCCTCAAGTTTCAAAACTTGTAAAAAGAAAAGTGCCTGTAAAGATGCAAATAGATTAAACTTGACACTACTCCCCCCAGTCTTTCTAAAAAAAAAAAAAAAAAAAGAAGAGAGTGAGATGCTGGACTTTTCTCAAAGTGTTAATCTCAGCAGCAGGTGCAATCAAGATCTTACCGTTGTCTCAAAAACCTCCCCTTGCTACTTCTCTACATCAGAGGCAAATGCTGAGGAGACTAAGGCCTGGGGAGGGCTCTCCCCCCTGCTCCGGGACCCAGGGCATGCGCAGGCCCCGGCTAACTGACAGCAGCAGGGACCCTGGGAAGTGAAGTGGGTGGAAAGAGTACAGAAGCACAGATCTAGTCTCTGCAACTTGTTCCCAGGCACAGCTTGCAAGTCACATGCCGTCCCTGAGCCTCAGCTCCCTCATCTGTAAAATAAAGATTAAATATATCTACCTCAACAGGTCACTGTGAAGGCTGAAATTTTAACAAGATAGTATGTAGGACAGAGTCAATGTGCAATAAACATTTGTTGAAAGAGTGAATTATCGTTGACATTTTATGCTTCCGAAAATGTAAAGAAGCCTGCTAAAGAGGCAGGCTTATATATCAATAGCCGTATTTTGCAGATGAGTAAACTGAGGCTCTGAGAGAGAAAGTGATTTTCTCAAAGTGTCACTGCTATAGGGCAGCAAAACTGGAAACTGACACAGTGCCTAGATACCTACCACTTTTTTAAAAAAATTTTTTTATAACTTTCATTTTTTTTCCAAAGGTTTTATTTATTTACTCATGAGAGACAGAGAGAGAGAGAGAGAGAGAGGCAGAGGGAGAAGCAGGCTCCCAAGGTGCAGGGAGCCCGATGCGGGACCCGATCCCAGGACTCTGGGATCATGACCCGAGCCGAAGGCAGATGCTTAACCATCTGAGCCACCCAGGCACCCGATACCTACCACTTTCTATGGGCAGTCACTTCTGGGCAGAAAACAGAGCAGGGGCTCAGGTGAGGGTGAGGTGAAAACTGGGGTCTGGCCAGGGGCCCAGCCCTGCCTTCCTGGGGGAGTCTCAGCAGGAAATGGAGAGTCCCACCAAGGCCAGTGACCTTTCACTTAGAAAGTGCCGGCAACATTCAGTGGCCATAGATTGAGTGGCTTCTGTGGGAGAGCCTACTAGGTGGTAAGGGAGTTCCGGGATGAGGCAGGCTGATCCCATTCATTCATTCATTCATTCACTCAGCAAACACCACATGAAGCCTCTGTGAGTTTTGTGCTGGGCTCTAGGGACCCTCAGACTCATTCATTCATTCATTCATTCAGTAAACACCATGTGAGGCCTCTGTGGGGTTTTGTGCTGGGCTCCAGGGACACTCAAACTCAGGTCCCATGTTCCATGGTGATTGGGGCTATGCTGGAAGAAGTCCAGAGGCACCACCTAACCCCTCCTGGCTGGTGATCCACCAGGAAATGCAGCTTGGAGAAGGAGACGGTTATGCTTCCCATACATGAGTAGGAATTCTAATAGAAATAGTAGGAATAGTAGAGTAGGAATTGGTGTGAGGGGAGATTTTCAGGCAAAGGGAGCCTTATTTCATAGGAAGGATGAAAAATGGGCACAGTGTGGAGTCGGTGCTTGCCCCGCCTCTCTGTGCCTTAGTTTCTTTCTTTTTTAATTTTTTATTGTTATGTTAATCACCATACATCACATCATTAGTTTTTGATGTAGTGTTCCATGATTCATTGTTTGTGCATAACACCTGGTGCTCCACGCAGAACGTGCCCTCTTGAATACCCATCACCAGGCTAACCCATCCCCCTACCCCCTCCCCTCTAGAACCCTCAGTTTGTTTCCCAGAGTCCATCGTCTCTCATGGTTAGTCTTGTGCCTTAGTTTCTTAATCTGTGAAACCTGCATAATAATAGCACCTGCCTCCTAAGAATGATGTACAGATTAAATGAGAGAATACCAAAGAAGGCCTTGCACGTTAGTGTTTAATAAACACTGGTTACTGTTATTCTAAAAGAATATAAAAGAGTATGTGAAGAGGACAAAGAGGAGACATGGGCAGATCTTCTGAATCAAGGGAGGTTTCCTGGAGGAGGAGTTTCAAACTGGCCTTGAAGGATGGGAAAGATTTCAACCAGGTTAGGCATGTATAGGGAATGGTCAGCAGTGCCACCTGAGTGAAACATAAAGAACTAGGTAAAGGGTCAGAGAAGACACATGCAGCAATCTGGGAAGGCCGAAGGTCCCTGAAGGAGGGCTTGAGGTTTGCCCAGTAGGCACTGAGGAGCAATAGCCAGGTCTTGAACAGGGAGCAGGGCTATTTGCCCAGTTCCGTCCGAAGATGTCACCTGTGCCGGAGACTAGACTAGAGATCTGTTGGGCATCTGCTCCCAGGTAGAGGTGAGCAGGAGCTGGGGCCAGGCTAAAAAGCAACACTTTTTCTTGCAGTTGCCCTTGTTTGCTGACCTTGGGATTGGGGAGAAAGACATTGAGGACAGGCTTCTGCCACAGAATCTGCGTGGCTCAGTGACAATAGGAGCTGTGAACAAGCACGCCCCAGGGGGTTCAAGCATGGAGAGCTGGAGCAAGGGAGCCTGAGGGCCTGGCGAGGGCCAGTCAGTCAGGAGTGGGGCAGCGTGGAGGACAAGGGATGACCAGTACTGGAGAGAGGTGGGGCAAAGAGAAGAGGCACCATGAGGGAGGGGGGAGCAGAACCTGGCATAGCGCATCAGGCACAGAGTTGCCCAGGTCAGCATACGGCACAGAGTGAGTGCTGTCTGCTTTCTTTCGTGTTCATCCATTTAACAAATACCTGCTAAGCATCTGCCATGTACTAGGCACTACTCTGTGTGCCAAGATAGAGCATGGAAAACAGACATAGGAACTGTTTTGGAGCTTACGTTCAAGAAGGGTAGGGTAAAGCAAGGGATAAGCCAGCACATAAGTAAGACAAGCGGGGCGCCTGGGTGGCTCAGTCAGTTAAGCATCTGCCTTCGGCCCAGGTCATGATCCCAGGGTCCTGGGATCGAGCCCCACGTAGGGCTCCCTGATCAGCGGGGAGCCTACTTCTCCCTCTCCCCCTGCTCGTGCTCTTTCTCTCAAATAAATAAATAAATAAATAAAATCTCCCCCCCCAAAAGTAAGACAGACAAGTGATAAGCCAGCACAAGTCAGACAAGTTAGTTATAATTGTAAATAATAAGTACCACAGAGGTACTAAAACAGAGGATGTCCTCAAAGTGCCCGTTGCAGACAGGTACTTAGGCCAGGTCTTGGTGTGGAGTGGAGGAGACATCTGAACTGAGATCCAAATGATGAGAAGGAGCCAAGGGGAAACAGGGGTGAGGTGGCAGGATGTGGGAGTGGGGGAGTGCAGGGTTTCAGAGGCTGGGAGTTGGGGGGGGCAGTGATTCCAGACAGAGGCAATAGCAGGTGCCATGCTCTGAGGTAGGGGTGAGTTTGGGTGAGGTACAGAAAGGACCCTGGTGGCTGGACTGAGGAACTGAGCGAAGCAGAATCACAGATGAGCTTGGAGGAGGGGAAGGGAGCAGATCAGAGAACTCTGGCTTGCCACGATGTCAAGTCTGGGTTTGATTCTAAACATATTGGAAAGCCACTGGGTCGTGTTTGTTGTTGCCTTGTGGTAAAATATATGTAACAAAATTTACCATTTTAAATATTTTGTTAAGTATACAGTTTAGTGGCATTAAGTACAATCACGTTGTGTGCATCCATCAGCCCTCTCTAGAACTTTTCCATCTTCCCCAGCTGAAACCCCGTACCCATTAAACACTAAGTCCCCACTCCTCCTTTCTCCAGTCCTCGGCAGCCACCGTTTCATTTTCTCTCTCTATGAGTCTGACTATTCTAGGGACCTCATATAAACCACGGGGAGGTTTCAAGCAGAGTGGCAAGGTGATGTGACCTGCGAACCCACTCTCGTTGCTCTGAGAATGGACTGCAGCGGGCAATGTGGTGGGGCTGAGAGCCTCAGAGGAGCCAAGAATGATAAGATTTTTGGCTGAGTGAGGAGGAAGATGGAGGGGTCAGTTCCTGGGAGGTGGTGACAGGGTGGACCACAGCATTTTATTTTATTTTAAGATTTTATTTATTTATTTGACAGAGAGAGACAAAGCGAGAGAGGGAACACAAGCAGGGGGAGTGGGAGAGGGAGAAGCAGGCTTCTGGCAGAGCAGGGAGCCCGATGCGGGGCTCGATCTCAGGACCCTGGGATCATGACCTGAGCCGAAGGCAGACGCTTAACGACTGAGCCACCCAGGTGCCTCGTGGACCACAGCATTTTAGACCTGGAAGGGAGCTTTTAGGAGCTGCCTGGCTCAAAGGTTTAGGCAGGGTTTAGGAAGCTGTGGGTGGAATAGGTTTCTTTGCTGAGGAGATTCTCCAGCGGACATGGGGAAGAATGTTTGGTTCTTTCCACAAGCTTTCACGTAAATACTGTTGCATAGAATACGCTCTGAGAAAGGCTGAGGCCCAGAGAGGGGAAGGCCCTTACTTAAGATCACACAGTTGAAGTAGTGGCAGAGGCAGGCCTGGAACCCAAATCTCCGGATTTCTCAGTGGATGTTCTTGCTCTTTTCACTATACCAGGCTGCGGTGTCGATGGATGGGAAAGGCAAAAGGCTGGAGGCCCAGAGATCACCCAGGCCACCCAGGCCTAAATCAGCGAGGGCCTGGGCAAGAGGAGCCCACTGGTGAGAGCTGCAACAGGGTACCTTTTGTGAAGCCTGTCGTCACCCTTCCCCCAGGGCAATTTCACATACCTTCTGAACACCTGAATGACATTTTTTTTTTTTTTGCCATGACATGACCCTTAAATACAACCCTTTTACCTACTTTCAGTACTTACCATAGCCCATCATTTAAGTTTTTTTTCTCTTTATATTTACATGACAGCATGGAATTGTATAGGTGACCAGAAGCAGCTCTTCTAACCTCCCAGGTTGCTGCTCCACGCCATATCTCACATTTCAACTGCATCTTGGTAGCCTGGCTTAAAATCCTACCTCGCTCTGTGGTTGCTGAGATTGTACCTTCAATTATTCAAAGCATTACAGCATGGGTTCTGGAGTTAAGACTGCCTGGGTTTGAATCCTGGCTTCACCACTTACTAGCTGGGTGGCCTGGGGCAAGGTGACCGCTCTGTGCCTCAGTTTCCTGATCCAGAAGGGTACTTATCTCTGAGGGATTGTGAGAATTCAGTGAGTTAACAGGCAGAAGCACTTAGAACAGTCTGGCATATACTAAGTGATCAAGTAAGGTAAACTAGTATGATTAATGTCTTAGTTCTATCACAGAACCAACTGCATCCCTTGCACAGTCGGCCATTGTTCTTTTAGAGGAGCTTTGACTTGGGAAGTCTGGGGGCACCTTCAAACCGAGTGTTAAAACAAACAAGTCAGGTGATTCAATAACTCATCTGCTTTTTATACAATCATCTCTTAAATAGAGAATGGAGTTCATTTTCACAAGGTCAGCAGGGGTCAGTACATTCAAAGTCTTCAGTTGCTTTCCTGGAACAAGCCTGGAGGAGGCAGCGCGAGATGGTGAAAAAGGCTGAATTTAGGGGTCTGAAGACGCTCAGTCAACTAATGGGCGGCCTGACCTTGGTAACCACCAGGCTTGTTTCCTCTTCTGTCAGAGAGCTGAACTTTAAGGCATTCAGAGGCATTCGGTCTAGTGTCCTCGGTTAAAGAGCTAGCAAATGTATGGAAATAGCAGATAGGTAGACAGGCTATATCTGGAGGCATGTTCTAGAAACTCCTAATAGAAGAAAAGGGTGGGGAAGGAGACGTCATAGAATATTATTCTGTACCTTGTAAACGAAAAAAAGTTGAGAAATGAACTAGCTTGCCAAAAAGAAATTTTCTTTTAAGACCAGGTGAGTGGGCGTTCTGAAGGGGGCTGGGAGGGAGTCGCCAGGCCGAGGGCCCCGAGTCCTGGCCCCTTTCCCCCCTCTCTCGGACCCCTAGCAACCTGCGGCGCTCACGCACCCGAGCCTCCTCCCTTTTCCGCCGCCGGACCTGAGCACGGACGCCGAAGCGGCCGCGGCCATCTTAACTGTGGGCAAGAGGCGCTTCCCAAGGCGGCTTGCGGAAGAGCAGAGGACAGCTCGAGAGAGGAATAAACCAGGTCATCAATACCAGACCCTGGTATTGGCGTCACCCTGGTACTGACGCTGTTAAATGCTTCTCTAAAACTGAAAAACACTGGAATGTCACCATCTTTTCTGAAGGCGCCTTCATTTTCTTGGTCGTGCAACCACCGAGTTCGCGTAACCGACCGTTTCTAGCTGTCCTAGAGCCGTCCCACCCGAGGCTACTGGCCGGCCGCCTAGGCCCGGAAGAATCTAGCTCCCTGGAGGCGGAATGCTGGGCGTCCCCTCCCCGGTGCAGGGGTGCAGGCGGGGAGGGGCGTTTGGGTCCCTGGCCCTGCTCCCGGCTCGGTGCTGAGGTGCCCGCCGAGGCCCATATGCGTAGACCTGACGCGGGAGATCGATAGCCAACCCGGATCTCCGAAAAGGGAAGGGGGCGGATGGGATGCGCAGGTCTGAGTGCCAGACTCGCCCCCACTCCTGCCCTCAGATGACTTCGTTTCCCGTGACCCCCCGCCAGATCGGCCCAACTGAAATTTACAGCGGAGCTTCTTTGGCCAGGCTCTTCCGCAGGTGGTTCCCCAGGACTTATGTAAAAAGTTCAGAACCTGTGTACCACAGTGTGAAAGCCCGTGGCTTGCTCACCCCCAATTCAAACCCAGCCTCTCCCTACAGGCTAATGATCCCATTGGCTCCAGCTACAAGGAATCTTTGGGTTGGGTTTTTTTTTTTTTTCTTTTTAAAAGATTTTATTTATTTATTTGACAGAGAGAGGGAGAGAATGAGAGCACAAGCAGGGCGAGCAGCAGGCAGAGGGAGAAGCAGGCTTGAGCAGGGAGCCCTGGACACACATCTGGCTTAATGAGCCTAATCTAACATCTTTCAGTGCCCTTTTCAAATGCCTTTCAAATGTCTCTAAGAAATTCTTCCTGAAGCTCTTATGCCCCAAGTAGGAAGTCTCAGCTGCAGCTCTTTGTCTAGCTCTTTAACTGCCTGAAGGTCTCTGCACCTTTGCCCCCCGAGCTCATAGGTGGCTTCTCTCTCCCTTAGCGTAAACCTAGAGCTTAGTGTAAACTTAGAGTAGGAACGTTATCTTGGTTCATCAATGTCTCCCAACACCTAGAACATTTAGAACAATGCCTGCCACACAAACAATGCCCAATATGTTTTCATCAAATGAATGATTGAACTGTTTGTTGAGTGATTAGCGTTCTTCTCCAAGATTCCAGAGCCCAAACCAGCTCTCATCTCCTGGGTAGAAAAGATGGCCCAGCTGTGGAGTGCAGATGCTCAGGATCCCCAGGTGGATGCCTGAGAGAAAGAAAGATGAGAAGTGGGGGTAATGTTCCAGGTCCAGCTGGAAGGGAAAATGTTTTGTTGAACAAGAAACATCATCTAGGGATGCCTGGGTGGCCCAGTCGGTTAAGCGTCTGCTTTCGGCTCTGGTCATGATCCCAGCGCCCTGGGATCGAGTCCCGCATCGGGCTCCTTGCTCAGCGGGGAGTCTGCCTCTCCCTCTCCATCTGCCTTTCCCCCCTTCCCCGCTCATGCTCTCTCTCTCTCTCTCTCAAATAAATAAAATCATTAAAAAAAGAGGGGCGCCTGGGTGGCTCAGTCGTTAAGCGTCTGCCTTCGGCTCAGGTCATGATCCCAGGGTCCTGGGATCGAGCCCCACATCGGGCTCCCTGCTCAGCGGGAAACCTGCTTCTCCCTCTCCCACTCCCTCTGCTTGAGTTCCCTCTCACGCTATGTCTCTCTCTGTCAAATAAATAAATAAATAAAATCTTTAAAAAAAGAAACACCATCTACATGTACCTTACTACTTTTTGCTGGCCTCATTTTTTTCAAAAAAATTTATTTATTTATTTTTAAGATTTTACTTATTTGAGAGAGAGAGAATGAGAGATAGAGAGTACGAGAGGGAAGAGGGTCAGAGGGAGAAGCAGACTCCCTGCTCAGCAGGGAGCCCGATGTGGGACTCGATCCCAGGACTCCAGGATCATGACCTGAGCCGAAGGCAGTCGCTTAACCAACTGAGCCACCCAGGCGCCCAGATTTTATTTATTTATTTGACAGGGAGGGAGATAGAGAGAGACGGAACACAAGCAGGGGGAGTGGGAGAGGGAGAAGCAGGCTTCCCGCGCAGCAGGGAGCCCGACGCGGGACTTGATCCCAGGACCCTGGGATCATGACCTGAGCCAAAGGCAGACGCTTAACGACTGAGCCACCCAGGCACCCCTGCTGGCCTGAATTTATGACACCCACCGGAGACTAGAATCTTGACCTTCTCTTTTTCACTTAATTGAGGCATCCACGGGTCCCAAGATCAGGTCACACTGTACAAATCAACCAAACTCTAGGTCAGTGTCAACGTGTGAATTAAAGTTTAGGATGGAAGCAGTTCCCCTTTCTGTAGGTGCCTGTGCCTTGTTAACACCTGTTTCTCTGGTTGAGGGTGTCTCTTTGGGTTGGTCCTGAAGTGGGAATGTCCCTGACTTGCCGTGACCCCCTCAATTGGTCAACACAGTCTAGGTGGGTGCTTCCAGGGGCTAGGCACCCACCTGAGGTTGTGAAAGTTGATTCTGTCACCTAAACATTGAGTAGAGTTTGACTGAACAGGACAGAAAGTAAGTTTTGAATCTGCTGTTTCAAAACAGCCACTCAGAAAAATGATATATTTGGAAGAAGCCAGCAGAAGGAGTCTACTGGGGAGTTGTCATGAGCCCCTGGGGTCAGAGACACTAGCTTGGCCTCTGTGAGCCTGTGGCCAAAGCACCCCAGGTAGACAGGCCTTTCCCAAGCCCCAACTCTACACCCAGCCTCAGTGCCTGGTACTCACACAGCACCGTGCCCCGAGTGCAGGCACACTTTGCCATGACCTTTCACCTGACTCAGTGCATTCTGGAGAGGGGCCCTTTGCCTGCGCGTAGTGTGGCACCTGTTTCTGCCACAGGTGGTACCTCTCGTGCTACCTGCTGACTCACACAGGCAAGCTGTCCTATTCCTGTCCTCAGTGTGGAAGGTGCTTCAGCCAGAGGCCCACCAGTAGACCCCAGTGCCAGCCTGGTGCCGTGGACCTCAAGGGCTGACACACAGGTGTGAACCCTGCCCTGGGCTCTTCCTCAGGAGCGTTCAGACCCCTCTGTGAGTTTCCAGCACTACCCAGAGCTCTTCCAGGCCTATGTGTGAGAGGCATCACCGTGAGGGGTGGGCGCTGACAGATGATAAAATGCTATTACTCTTACTGAAAAAAAAAAAAATTTTTTTTTTCTTGTGTCCTTCAGGGACCAGAGGCTAGGAGTAGCTAGGGCTCAGTCAAGTCCATGGGCAAATCTGCATCCTTACCTTTTCCCAGGTTTTTCATCTTTTCCTTTTCCCCTTTCTGCTTTGATTACCTCTACTTGCCCAGCTCCTCTGGCGTCGGGGAGAAGCATCCACCAGATACAAGGTGTTAGGCAAAAGCCTCAGGAAGACCTCTGGAAGGAAGCAAGCAGAGAGAAGCTCCAGACTAGACCCCAGACCTGGTGAAGGGAGGTGTGAAATGCAGTGATTTAGCCGGCCAAAGGAAAATTATCGTCTTTTTAGGGTAGGGTATTTACGAAGGCATATGGGGACACAGAGTAAGCCGTCAATATATGTGTGGAGTGAGAGAAGGAGGTTGGAGGTAGAAATGAGAGGGAGAGTGGGTGCCATTTGCTTATAAAGACCCCAGGAGGAGCAGGCTGGGGGCAGAAAGGGATGATGAATTCGGTGGGAGCCATGCCTAGTGTGAAGTTCTAGTGGGAATTCGTGCAGGGGCAAGGGAGCAGGTGGCTCTGTGATCAGGAGCTTAGGAGCCAGGCTTGAGCTAGAGGTAAATAGATGTTCGACAGGCCTCCTGCAGAACATGTGCGGAGAAAGTAAGAAAGTAAGGTTGCAGAAAGTGGGTCCTGCGGACTTTTACAGACCTTACCCTGCCCCCCGCCAGCCGCCGCCACAATCTCCTGAATAGAAGCTCCCAGTAGAGAAGGTTCTCTTTTACCCACTACATTTTTCTCCTCTCAACACTGGGGAAAGTGCGTTGTTACCCAGTGACGGGCCGAAACCCAGGAACCCACTTATGAACGGCCCGGCGACGAAAAGGAGCGTGGAACTCAAGAGGGCAGCGCGGGCCGGGTCAGCCCGCACCCTCCGCCGCGCCCGTGCCGCCTTCAAACCCGGGCGGGGCTGCGGCTGCGCCTGCGCCTCCCAGCGCGGCGGGCGCGTGCACCTCGCGGGGCGGAGGAGGCCCGGCGCCCCCTCCCGCCCTTGTAGCCGTCGCGGCCATTTTGGCTGAGGGCTCGAGGACAAAGCCACCTGGAGACCCCGGGGGAGGCGTCATCTGGGCACGGTTGCGTAGGAGCAGCGCTCGCGCGGCGCGTTGCGGCCATTTCTTCCTGATGCTCTGTGTCCCTTCCGCTCGCGGCTCTTGGTCCTTGGCCACCCTGGTGGACCCTCGAGGGGCGGGCTGCTGCGCTCGCGGCCTCCCGGACCGCGCCCCGGCCCGGGGACGTCCTCCGGCGCGGGCGGCTCCGCGGACCCCGGCCCGGCCCTTGCCATGGCGCAGCCTCCGGCCCCGCTGCCCGCGTGGGAACCGGACGGCGCCGGGCGCGAGCGGAGGGGGCCGGGCGGCGTGAGCTTCGCGGACGTGGCCGTGTACTTCTCCCCGGAGGAGTGGGGCTGTCTGCGGCCCGCGCAGAGGGCCCTGTACCGGGACGTGATGCGGGAGACCTACGGCCACCTGGGCGCGCTCGGTGAGGCCCCGCCGGCTCGCGCGGGCCACCTCCCCGCCCAGCCTCCCGGGCCGGCCCCGGCACTGGGAGCCCCGAGGTCCGGGAAGCCGGGACGACGCGGGGCGGCCTCCCGGCAGCGTGGGGTTTCCGTTCTCCTCCCCCAGGGTTCCGAGGCGCCAAGCCAGCTCTCATTTCCTGGGTGGAGGAAGAGGCGGACCTGTGGGGCCCGGCTGCCCGGGATCCGGAGGTGGGAGAGTGTCTGACAGAAGCAGACGCAGGTGAAGTATGGGGTACTGCGTCTCCCGGGACCGCCTCTGGGCCTGGGCCACCCAGCTGACCTTCTGCCAACACCTTCCCTGCTCCTCGTTTTCTTCCCTGGGTTGCGTTCCCCGCTGAGGTTCCCCTGCCGGCCCGTGCTTCGCTGCAGGCTTCAGCCTAGAAAGGGGTTGCGAGTGTGGCCCGGGCTCTGCTGGGGTGCGGGGCCTTGCGTACCTGCCTCTCCAGCGAATCTGTGCCGCTCACATCTGGTTGGTCTCAGAGCTCTCTCGAGCTTCACATCATCCCTCCTGCCGCTTTCCTACACTCTAGCTTGGCGGCCGCCTCTTGTGTTTTAGCTTCCTTTCTTTTTGTTACGTTTTTGTGGTCTCCTTTCTCGTGGGTTCCACTGTTTGTTTACTTCCTCCAGTTGATCCTTGCACCGCACCCCCTCCCTGTGAGCTTGTCAGTGCCGGCCACGGTCCTGCCTCTCTTGCACGAACATGTTCCTGCTGCCTGGAGTGTCCTGAGACATCCTGTCATCCTCCAGGATCCAGCAAGAATGTCCCCTCTGCCCGCATTTCCCCAGCTCTGAGGTAGAACGTACGGTGTTCCATTCCTTCCTTCCTTCTTTGTCTTGGTGTCTTTTCTGTCCTCTGCCGTTCAGGAAAATGTGTCACTCCGAGCTTCCCTGCCTGTACCGAGCTGAGTCCCAGAGGCAGCAGTGGGTCCGGAAGGTGGCTGTATCTAAAAGGCTTCTCTGTCACCATTTGGGGTTTGGCCATAAGAACCAGGGTAAGCCAGGGTCTAAGCTCTCCCCTTACCTCCCAGCAGATTCCAGAAACAAGGAAGAGAAAAGACAAAGAGAAGGGACTGAGGCCCTGAAGAAGAGCCTTTCTGTGGAAGCTCCTGGGCCGAAGGCTCCAACACACCCTTCTGCTGGGTTCCCTGACAGCTTGGAGCAGCCGTCCAAGGCACCTCGCCGGGGTCGCCCCCCACTCTGTGCGCATCCCCCTGTCCCAAGAGCTGACCAGCGTCATGGTTGCTACATGTGTGGGAAGAGTTTTGCCTGGCGCTCCACCCTGGTGGAGCACCTGTACACCCACACGGGGGAGAAGCCCTTCCGTTGCCCTGACTGTGGCAAGGGCTTCAGCCAGGCCTCCTCTCTGAGCAAGCACCGGGCCATCCACCGTGGGGAGCGGCCCCACCGCTGCCTGGACTGTGGCCGGGCCTTCACCCAGCGCTCTGCCCTCACCACTCACCTGCGGGTCCACACGGGCGAGAAGCCCTACGGCTGTGCTGACTGTGGCCGCTGCTTTAGCCAGAGCTCTGCCCTCTACCAGCACCAGCGGGTCCACAGTGGCGAGACTCCCTTCCCCTGCACGGACTGTGGCCGCGCCTTTGCCCATGCGTCAGACCTTCGGCGCCACATACGCACCCATACGGGCGAGAAGCCCTACCCGTGCCCAGACTGTGGGCGCTGTTTCCGACAGAGCTCCGAAATGGCAGCCCATCGGCGTACCCACAGCGGTGAACGCCCCTACCCCTGTCCTCAGTGTGGCAGGTGCTTTGGCCAGAAGTCAGCCATGGCCAAGCACCAGTGGGTCCATAGGCCTGGTGCTGGGGGGCCCAGGGGCCGGGGTGCCAGTGCGTTGCCTGTGCCTCTGGCCCCTGGCCAAGGGGACCTGGACCCACCTGTGGGCTTCCAGCACTACCCAGAAATAATCCAGGAGTGTGGGTGATGGTCCTAAAGATGTCAAGGCAAAGGGTGAAGATCTAGACATTGCCTGAGGCCCAGGTTGGGCTCAGGGGCCTGAACCTCTGTGGCAGCTCCAGGGAGGTCCCACAATTCCAGGCAAGAGGTGGACCTGGGGGGTGAGGACCCTCTTACCTTAGGCCTTCACAAGCTTGATCTGCTGACACCTTGCTCCCTACTGTCCCAGACTCTAGAAGCCCCCTCTGCTCCGTTAGGGCTGAGGTAAGCACCTGCACAAGACCTCCGCTGTGGGGAAGAAAAGGCTGTTTCTCCACTTAGACATGTTAAGAGGATCGAGGTAGAAGGGAAGTTTGCTGTATTGGTTGTCTTTACTGCAGGGGTTAAAAACTGACGGCCTTGTACTGAATCTGGCTCGCAGCAACCTTTTACAAATTATTTTTGGTCCAACCAGCATTTTAAAATGTTACAAATCATGGTTAAGACTTAAAAGGATATTTCACACAAAAATTCAGGTTTCTGGCCTCTTTTGAAAAATTCGGGGATTTGGCAACTCGACCTGAGCTCCCACAAAGGCACAGGTGGCAGGAAGCGCAGGGCAGCTGTTCAGCCTGCCCACCAGCCCTTCCTTGGTTTGCCACCAGTGTCAGCTGGCCCTTGTCCCCGCCTGTCCGTGTCCCCAGTACAGCAGGCCCTCTCCATCGGGTATTTCCCCCTTGTTTACGTGACCCGCTGGGCTCCTGTAGTCATTTGAGTTTGCAGACTGGTGGATAGCATTCATGTTCTATTTTATTTTATTTTTTTTAAGATTTCATTTATTTGACACAGAGAGCGAGAGAGCAGAAGCAGGGGGAACAGTAGAGGAAGAGGGAGAAGCAGGGAGCCCGATGCGGGGCTCAACCCCAGGACCCTGGGAACATGACCTGAGCTGAAGGCAGACGCTTAACCTGAGCCACCCAGGCACCCCACGTTCATGTTGTCCTGACCCAGGGATTCAGGTTGACAGCACCCGTGTGAAAGGGCAGGAGAAGAGAAGGAAAAGCAGGCTTTATTTCAGATGTCTGCTTGTATCACGTTCTCTGGTTTACAAAGTACTGTCTTGTCCATCAGCTTGGACCTTGTCCATGTAGCTTGGAAAGGACACCCCAGTCAGGAAGAGGCTGTCAGGACTCTATATTTTGCCCCAAACCGAGAGGTATCTCTGCCACGCCACGATAGGCCTCTTGGCTGACCGGCAGTTCCTGGTTTTGAAGAGGAAGGCTCTGAGTGTGCCCTCCAGTCCTCCTTGAGCCTCCCTGGGAGAGCCCTACTGCTCAGGCCTTAGCCACCAGCCAGCCAGCCAGGAGGGCCTCATCACATTTTTGACCTGGAAGAGATCTTAGCTTTTCTATCCTTCTCTTTGGGGACTCAGACTGGGGAAGGCCAAACCACCCGTCCAAGGTCACATACAGAGTGAGTAAGACTCCAGGGTTCTTGGTTGACTGCTGTCTTTACCACACCATGCCTGAGTTCCTTGCCCATGTCTCAGCCAGGGTTCTGGAGCAATCTGCTCCCTCCCTACGACAGCTCCCAAACAATGACCTGGACTAGGGACAGAGCAACCCAGTGTCAGTGAGGCCCAGTTACAAAATGACAGAACAGCCACACAGCAAAGCAAGGCAAGGGAGAAACCAGCCTGCGATGAGAGTTCCAGGGCAAACAGAAGCAAAGCTTGCCTCTTTTTAAGTACCTCTCATCATGAACAAAGAGGGACAAGGCCAGGAACATTTGGGGTTAGTAGCCAAGGGAACTGCTCATCTGTATTCCCAAGCCGTGTTGCTTGTGACTCCATTATCCATTAGCCACCCAGTTCCGCTGTGGTCAGAGTCCAGCCTTGTCCCTGATGCTGCCACCAGCCACGGGCAGACCCGTTCCTGCCTCCTTCACCTTCACCTCAAGGAGTAATAGCAGGGGCTTATGTCTTCTGCCGGTCTGTGCGCACCCGCCTACTTCACCCAAATCTGTCCCATGTCCTGTCTGGCCTACCTTAGGAAGAAACCAGATTTGTCAACCTAGAGAAACTTCTAAAGGAAGAGGTAGAAAATCTGGGGGGAAAGACATTGTTCAGGTGAAATAATCAACTGAATTGATACCAATTTAATCTTCAGATCTGACCCCACCAGGACCTGGCTTACCCTAAACTTTAATGGGAGGGTTGGCTCAGGTGCCATCTTGTCACAAGGGGGACGTGCAGTGAAAAGAGGCACCTTGACAGCAGGACCTACCTTTGTACCAGCTTTTAATTCCCTAAAGAGAAGCCAGCGTACAACCCTTCCCTTGCCTCACCCTCAGCACTGCCCGGGGAAAGCCCAGCCTGCAATACCAGTTGTCAGCTCAGATTCAAAGTCAGATCTGGATCCTGCCCTCAGCTTGCCAATTAAAGGTACCATAATTACTACTTTCTCCGAGTGCTTTGAAGTTTGCAAAGCTTGCTTAGGGCCCCAAAACCAGACCCAGCTCCTCTGCTTCCTGCCCTCGCGACCCAACCTTATGCCATTTAATCGATTTTTGAGTGTCACGAAATGCTTAAGCCTTAGCCTCACTCCATTCTCAGCTCCTCATTTCTTGGCATGGTTGCTGCCACCAGAGATGGGGCTCCCTTTTCTCCCTCTGCTCCCATAGGTCTTTAAGGCTTAGACCCCAAAGCACTTTAAGCCAGGAAGAGGGTTTTCCTAGGGCTTTCTTGGGACATCAGGAGAAATGCTTGTCTGAATCAGACAAAATGAGCCCCGTGCAAATGGCCAGAGTGAAAGGTCAAAGTCATGACCACATGGCCCATTCCTAACTTGTCCAAGCCATGTAAAATAAGGACAAGTGTTGACTTGAGCTTTTAAAGACCCCTAAACATTTTTTTAAAGGTTTTTATTTATTTGAGAGAGAGCACAGGGGTGTGTGTGGCAGGGGAATAAGGAGAAGCAGGCTCCTCACTGAGCAGGAAGCCCCACAGGGAATGCAGGCTCCATCCTAGAACCCTGAGATCAAGACCTGAGCCGAAGGCAGATCCTTTTTTTTTTTTTTTTTTTTAAAGATTTTATTTGTTAGCGTGAGCGAGAGAGAGAGTGAGCAAGGGTACAAGCAGGGGGAGCTGCAGGCAGAGGGAGAAGCAGGCTCCCTGCCGAGCAAGGAGCCCGATGCGGGATTCGATCCCAGGGCACTGGGATCATGACCTGAGCCGAAGGCAGACGCCCAACCGACTGAGCCACCCAGGCGTCCCAGATCCTTTTTTTTTTTTTTGAAGATTTTATTTATTTGACAGACGGAGACACGGTGAGAGAGGGAACACAAGCAGGGGGGGGAGTGGGAGAGGGAAAAGCAGGCTTCCTGTGGAGCAGGAAGCCCGATGTGGGGCTTGGGATCATGGGCCCTGGGATCATGACCTGAGCCGAAGGCAGATGCCTAACTGACTGAGCCACCCAGGCGCCCCCCTGAAGGCAGATGCTTCACCAACTGAACCATCCAGGTGCCCCAAGACCCCTAAACATTTTTGAATGTTTGTTTATGTGTGTCTCTAGGAATGGGATGTGCAAAGATGTTTATGACCCAAAGAAGGAAAAACCTGCTCTAGGCCAGTATTTTTTTCTTTTTTTCCCCCTTTTTAAAGATTTTATTAGAAAGTGAGCACAAGCAGGGTGGGGAGGGGCAGAGGGAGGGGGAGGGGCAGAGGGAGAGGGAGAAGCAGGCTCCCCACTGAGCAGGGAGCCCGATGCGGGGCTTGATCCCAGGACCCCAGAATCATGACCTGAGCCGAAGACAGATGCTTAACGAACTGAGCCACCCAGGTGCCCCTAAGCAAGTATTTTTCAAAGTAAGGCCTTTCTACCACAGAATCCCATTCGGTAACTTTAAAATGTAGCCAGCTCCCTGGGCTTTATCTCTGGAGTATTGAATCAGAATCTCCAGGGATGGACTCTCACACCTGGTAATGATGCTCTGAACAAAATGTTACTTTCTAGCTGCTTTTAGTTTTGCAAATGCTTGAGGTCAGAGGATGACAAAGACTCCCATTTTGTTTGTTCTTCCCAAAGGGGCCTGTGCCATGGCTGAGCTCTTCCAGGTACCTCAAATCTTCTTGAATATACAGGGACGTCTCTCGTAGCATCTGTCCGTTGCATGCAGGGAAAGAGCAGTTCACGCAGGAGTCCCCCTCATACTGAGGGCCTTTGCTCAAGTGTTGGCCAAGTTGGCTGGACCATAAGTGTTGGCTGCACACTGAATACCTCTGCCCCAGCTCTGCCACACACCGGGAAAGATCCTATGGACAAAGTGGCTGCCCAACTCAGGACACAAACACAGCTCCTCCTCACCAGGACACAGTGGTAGAATAAGGTCAGTGGACTCTTGCCTTGGATCAGTTGGTGCCGGGTCAAGCTGGAACCCACATCAGAGGATTCCCTGTGCTTAGAGCCTCTCACTGCTATGGGTGAGTGGCAGACAAGCTGGTTGCTTCTCAGGCCCATTGTATGGATAGGCCTGGTGCTGGAGGAGGCTGCCTGGAAGTCAGCTCGTCCTTTACTCTAGGCACTAGGAAGACTGAATGTCCATGTGGCAATGCAGGTGCCAATGCAGCTTGCAGCCCTGCCCTGACTTCTGCTACATGTGGGGCTGGTGGAGAGTGCTGCAGACAATGGGACCGGGTCAGAGCTGGGGCTGGAGGCCTCGCCACACACTTTGCAGGGAACAGCTGCTCTCCTGTGTACATTTTCTGGTGGGTAAGCAGGTTGGAGGTCAGAGAAAAGTGTCTCATGAAGGAGACTTCCGTTTCTCATTCGTGTGAGTGCTTTGGGAATGACCAGAGAGTGCTCCAGGTCCAGCTCCTTCCATAGTCAGTGCACTTGTAAGGTGTCCTGCCCGTGTGGGCCATCTAGTGCTGGACTGGGTGAGCCATTCTTCACAGAAGGTTTTAGGACAGACTGACAGTGGGGTGGGAGACAGGCATGGAGCTGGAAGCCGTTCCTCTTCATGGGAGAAACGTGCTCCTGCTTTATTTGTAGGGAGATAATTGTGATTCTATTTGTAAGCCTCTGTTTTCTCTAGGCTTTTACTGCTTGCAATTCTCCAGATTCTTGTTCGCATCTCTTTTCAGGAGAATGGAAGATGCCGTCTTTCCTCCTAAACCAGTTTCTTCCCTTCATTTGTCTGAGAAGGCAACGAGATAACACAATCATGCCTCCTGCATCACTCACACAGGGAGAATTTGGCTCATCAATTGTCAAGAACGCTACCAAAATACTTTCAGCAGCAAGGGTAAAAAAGGGAACAAGAATTGTCTTTCCAGAATCACTTTTCCCTTGATTCAAAGCTGCACCAAGGGCAGTGTTTCTTAGGTTCCCTTCTACAAGCTTCTGTCCAAGTCAGACAGGACTGTAGAGTTCTTAGCTCCCTTAAAGGCCAGATGGTTCTCTACTTCTGAACACCACCCTCACCTGGAAGTAACTCCCATAGGATCCCTGCCTCTCTGTGAGAAAACCCAGGAACCAGGGACTAAGGTTCCCACTTCGGGGAAGGTGGAAGGGATAGGCAGGTAACAGAAAGGAAAGCAGCCTCCTCTCTGCGGGAGGATCGGCCAACTCGCCCCTTCAGCACCAGGAACCTGTGGGAGAAAGGAAAGTGCTGGGAAAGGAAGTATGCGGGAGACTGGGGGGGTGGGGGGGGGGGGGGGGTAGGGAAGGTTGTTTGTCTCCAGATCCCTTGGCTTGCTTCAGAGAGATAAGACATAATGAAAGGTAAGTAGGGGCGGGAAAAGTTCTGAAAGCACCAGCCCGAGGACGGGCAGGGAGACGCCAGGCACCTCCCTCTCAGCCCTCGCGCAGGCACTTCTGACCGCTGGGGTAGGTGGAACCGGCCTGCCCCCTCCAGCCAATCAGAAAGGTGCCTCGCGTTCCCTGGCGACCATTAACGCCTAGCAGTTGGTGTAGTGGGAGGAGGCGGGACGACGAGAGCCCAAGCTCCCCCGGCCAATCGCTGTACTCCTTGGGAGGTAGGGGCGGTGCCTCTGGAAACGGGAGGCGGGGCTGTTTCATTGGCAACGATCCTAGCCCTCCCGGAGTGGGTAGGGTGGAGATTAGGAGGGGCAGAGAGGGGAGGGGGCCAGGAGGAGTGAGGGTGGGCGCGCTGGTGCGGAGGAGTAGAGTTCGGGTTGGGGGGGGTGGGAGCCCCAGACCCAGGAGCTCAGGGCTGGGGGTGGGGTCCGTCTAGGTTCCCGAGGCGCGGCCGAAGCTGACCCCAAGGCCCGGGAGGGGAGGGGAGCTAGACGCCGCCCCCGCTGGCGCCGGGAAGCGTCGCTCCTTCTCGCTGACCTTGGTCTCGCTTGTCGCCTCGCCCTTGGCCACAGGCACTGACGGACGCAGGGCCCGGGAGACGGATAGATAGGCTCCTGGACGGACGGAGCTCTAGGACATAGCACACAAACTACCCCAGCCTTTCCTGCCGGCTCCAGGGCTCCCCGTCATCCCCCACCTCAAAGCCGGGGCCATCCAGCCCAGGGTTAATGCCAACGAGTTTCCACCTCCAGCCGCTCCTAGAGAGGCCGTGGCGCTAGCCAGCGGGGGAAACTGGCCGCGGACGGACACTTCCTGTGCGGGGGGGAGGGGGGAGGGGGTCGGACAGCCGCAGCCCAGCCCGGGCTGGGGGGCCAGACTGCGGGGTCGCGGGCGGGGAGCGGCGTCCGGGGGCGGCAGGGCAAGTCGTGAAGACCCTCGTCTCCGAGGCCACGACGCACGGGGGCCTTGGAGGGCCCCAGGGCAAGGCGAGACCTTGTGGGTGGGGGCGGGGCCGCGGGTAGGGGAGGGGCCCGGCCGGCCAGAGAGGCCCAGGGTCAAGACGTCCGGCCTCAGGGGCCCGGGCTGGGCAGCCGGGTCCCCTGGGCGGCGCTGAGCAGGCGGGCGGCGAGGGTCTCAGGGCACTCAGGCCTGGTCGCAGGATCGTCCGCCATCGCCGCCGCCGCCGTACTGGGAGCCGGCGGGGATGGAACGGGAGGCGTCGCCGTGGGGCCTTGAGCCCGGGGATGTGCAAAGTCCTGACGAACTGGGGAGCCCCGAAGGGTCCCTCAAAGGTGAGGGAGGGAGCGTCTCTCTGATGAGCGTGCCTGGGAGCGGGAGAGGGGGCTGTGGGCCGTGGGAGGGGAAGAGAGCGGGGGCGGGGGGCTTGGACACCTGGGACTTGGAGGAGGCGGGGGCGGGGACTGGAAGTCCTGGGTCGGCGGAGGGGTAGGTGGGAATTTCAGCACCTACTCAAGGGCCAGCGACCCTGCTGGAGGAGGAGGGAGAGGTTTGTGGCAACTAGTGGAGGGACCAAATGACCTTCCAGGCCCCGCACAATCTGTGTTTTCTGTAATTTTCTGATCCTGCAGGCAACATGAGTGAGAATGAGGAAGAAGAAATGTCTCAACAAGAAGGCACTGGGGACTATGAGGTCGAAGAGATACCCTTTGGGCTTGAACCCCAGAGCCCTGGGTTTGAGCCACAAAGCCCCGAGTTTGAACCCCAGAGCCCCAGGTTTGAGCCTGAAAGCCCAGGTTTTGAGTCCGGAAGCCCTGGGTTTGTGCCCCCAAGCCCTGAATTTGCACCCAGAAGCCCTGAATCAGAGAGTCCTGAGTTTGAACCCCAAAGTCCTAGGTATGAGCCCCAAAGCCCCGGGTATGACCCCAAGAGCCCTGGATATGAACCCCGGAGCCCTGGTTATGAACCCAAGAGCCCTGGGTATGAACCCAAGAGCCCTGAGTATGGATCCCAGAGCCCTGGGTATGAATCCCAGAGCCCAGAATATGAGGCCCAGAATCCTGAGTTCAAAACCCAAAGCCCTGAATTTGAAGCTCAAAGTTCCAAATTTCAGGAAGGTGCAGAGATGCTTCTGAATCCTGAGGAAAAGAATCCTTTGAGCATCCCCTTGGGAGTCCACCCCTTGGACTCCTTCACCCAGGGGTTTGGGGAGCAGCCCACAGGGGGCCTACCCCTAGGGCCACCTTTTGAGATGCCCACAGGGGCTCTGCTGGCCACACCCCAGTTTGAGATGCTCCAGAATCCCCTGGGCCTGACAGGGGCCCTTCGGGGGCCAGGCAGGCGGGGTGGCCGGGCCAGGGGTGGGCAGGGCCCTCGGCCTAATATCTGCGGCATCTGCGGGAAGAGCTTTGGGCGGGGCTCCACCCTGATCCAGCACCAGCGCATCCATACGGGTGAGAAGCCCTATAAATGTGAGGTCTGTAGTAAGGCCTTCTCCCAGAGCTCTGACCTCATCAAACACCAGCGCACCCACACGGGCGAGCGGCCCTACAAGTGTCCCCGTTGTGGCAAGGCCTTCGCCGACAGCTCTTACCTGCTTCGCCACCAGCGCACCCACTCTGGTCAGAAGCCCTACAAGTGCCCGCACTGCGGCAAGGCCTTCGGTGACAGCTCCTACCTCCTGCGGCACCAGCGCACCCACAGCCACGAGCGGCCCTACAGCTGCCCCGAGTGCGGCAAGTGCTACAGCCAGAACTCTTCCCTGCGTAGTCACCAGAGGGTGCACACCGGGCAAAGGCCCTTCAGCTGTGGCATCTGCGGCAAGAGCTTCTCGCAGCGCTCGGCCCTCATCCCCCATGCCCGCAGCCACGCCCGCGAGAAGCCCTTTAAGTGCCCTGAGTGCGGCAAGCGCTTTGGCCAGAGCTCGGTGCTGGCCATCCACGCCCGCACCCACCTGCCAGGCCGCACCTACAGCTGCCCCGACTGCGGCAAGACCTTCAACCGCTCCTCCACGCTGATTCAGCACCAGCGCTCCCACACGGGCGAGCGGCCCTACCGGTGCGCCGTGTGCGGCAAGGGCTTCTGCCGCTCCTCCACGCTGCTGCAGCATCACCGAGTCCACAGCGGGGAGCGGCCCTACAAGTGCGATGACTGTGGAAAGGCCTTCTCGCAGAGCTCCGACCTCATCCGCCACCAGCGGACCCATGCAGCCGGCCGGCGCTGAGCTGGGGCCCTGCCAGGGGCTGGGGAGGTGGTGGGCAGACGAGAAGGGGCCAGGGAGCTAGAGAAAAACCTTTAGAGGGGATAGTGGGAAAGCTGGGGGAGGATGGAGGAGTCGAGGGCCAGGAAGTTACGTGCCCTGGAGATTTATTGGAAATGGGCTATGAAGAGGGGTTGGAGAGAGGCCAAGCAGGCAGTGGGAGGTTCCGGGAGAGATCCAGGAGAGAGGTCAGCAGAGAGTTGGCCTCGGCAGCAGCTTGCCCCTTGGTGGGTGCCTGGCTTGGCAAAGCGCTAGGCGGGGGTGGGGGGGAGGGGGGAGGGTTACTTAATTAGAGTTGGGTAGCTTAGATTGGTAGCTACTGAGACCCTCGTTGAGTCAGGAAGGGGTGAGGGTAGGTGGGGTGGGGAGTGGGGCCCTGGGGTGGGGCTTGGGCCTCAGTGCAAACCCCAGCCTCCCTTGTCTTCCTCAGGCTTTGGAGCCCCTGAATTTGAGTTCAATAAAAACCTTTATGTGGCAAAAGAGACTTGTCCTTAAAATGTATGCATGGGCAGTGCCCCGGGCAGTGGGAGACGCTCAGTGATAAGTACACAGAGCCAGTGAAGCCATAGGGTCCTGTCTGGGAAGCGCTTTTATGTTCCAAGTTTCCCTGGAATCTTATAATCTGATGCTCAGGAGATGTGACCTGCCCGTATATGCCCAAGTTTTGTCTCATGCTTTGAATCCTGCACAAACACAGAGGGAGCTCAGTGTGAGAGGGGTGAGAAGGCCTTTGACTTTGTGGGATATCCCTTTCACCAAACACAGAGGGTCTGTCCTCGGGCCAGAGAACAGACCCTGTTCTCATAGCCAGGCATAGAGCCTGTGTTCCATCTCTTTCTGGCTCCCAGCATCTAGCTGTGCCATCCTCCTGTCCCCTCCCTAGCCGGAACCTCTGGCCATCACTTTGTGCAGACCCGGAGTGACCAGAACCACAGAGTGCCTGCAGTCCCGACCCCACCTGTAGGGGGCACATAGGGGACCCAGTGAGAGGATTAAACAACTCCAGCCTTTAAGACCAACCCACCAGGCTGGGCCTGATTTGCCACACCTCTGCCTCTTTTTTAGGACCCCTGGGCCTATTGGGATCACCCTGCTCCCACCCTGCCTCTATCCTACTTTTCTTTCCTATCTGAGCCTCAGCCTTCCTAATACGTGGCTCTCAGGAAAGAATGGAGAGTTGGCGTCAGCGGTGAGTCTGTGGGATCCTGGGGTGTGGCCTGCCTTGACCTTAGCTGAGTAGGACAGGCCACACCCTGGGGAATCACCCAGCTGCCAGGAACATCTTTTTTTTTTTTTTTTTTTTTTTATTTATTCATTTGAGAGAGAGAATGAGATAGAGAGAGAGCATGAGAGGGGAGAGGGTCAGAGGGAGAAGCAGACTCCCTGCTGAGCAGGGACCCCGATGTGGGACTCGATCCTGGGACTCCAGGATCATGACCTGAGCCGAAGGCAGTCGCTTAACCAACTGAGCCACCCAGGCGCCCTGCCAGGAACATCTTGAGATGAATGCCTGTAAGGGCCCAATGTCTGCGAAGATTTTTTCATTCTCTTTCAGGGATGAGGAGAAATGAGTTCCCAGAGCTCTGACCTGCTTAAAGTCACTCTGTGGATAGAAGGCAGGTGAGACATTCAGACCACACCTGCCTGGCTCCATCAGCCCCAGCGGCTCGGCCACACAGGCAGGTGGGGGAATCAGGGCTCTATAAGGGCTCTTGGGCCTCGAAGCCTCAAGTCACCCCCAGCCCCACGCCCATCCTCGGGGCCTTATAACTTGTCAAGAGCAAATAACTTCTCCAACGATGTTTCTATCCAGCCTCTTATGTTCTGCAAGCTCCGGAAGGAGCCTTAGAAATCACGTAGTTTGGGGCACTTGGGTGGCTCAGTCGGTTAAGCGTCTGCCTTTGGCTCAGGTCATGATCCCGGGGTCCTGGGATTGAGCCCCGCATCGGGCTCCCTGCTCAGCAGGAGGTCTGTTTCTCCCTCCCCCTCTGCCACTCCCCCTGCTTCTGCTCTCTGACAAATAAATAAAATCTTATTAAAAAAAAGAAATCACATAGTTCAACACAGTTTGGTTGTGTTTGGTGTTTTTTTAAAGTTTTAATTATTTTTGAGAGTAGAACATTATTTTTCAAGTAAAATCTCTCGGTCTTTTAAAGACCTTTGTAAACTTTATGCACATTTTTGTACGATACCCTACCACACATAATTTCAAATATTAAAATACTCCATATTTCATATAGTTCATATATGTAACTACAGATGTTAAATAGAACCGCATTTGACTACCTGACATATTATGTTTGTAGACATTTACTTTAACATTTATTTCAATTGTACAATTTAATTTTTGTACTTTGGAGTTGATTTTTTTTTCAGCTCCCAAACATGTTTGTAGGCCATTGAAAGCCGGGGGGCCTGGGCACGGTGCTTGTGGTGCTTAATTGATAAAGGAGCCTGCATGCTACTTATGGACCTTAGCATTTAAAGCAGGTCAAGTGAGGGGGCCTCAGCTGCTTGGCCGCCACCCCTCTCTTCCACACAACAGCTCCTGAGGTTCCTTCAGGTCCCAGGTGGGGCAAAGCAGCCCAGGAAGGGCATGCATCTTTCTCAAGGTCACGGCAAAGAACTAGGACTCCAGTGCCAGGTCTTTTGCAGTCCAGCGTGCTGCTTTGACCACATCGTCCTGCACAGCTAAACCATTTTTTTTAAAAGTCATCTTTCCACCCAACGTGGAGATTGAACTCATGACCCTGAGATCAAGAGTCGCCTGCTCCACCGACTGAGCCAGCCAGGCGCTACACAACTAAACCATTTTTTTTTTAAAGATTTTATTTATTTGTCAGAGAGAGAGCAAGCACAAGCAGAGGGAATGGCAGGCACAGGGAGAAGCGGACTCCCCGCTGAGCAGGGAGCCCAATGCAGGACTTGATCCCAGGACCCTGGGACCACGACTCGAACCAAAGGCAGACGCTCAAACAACTGAGCCACCCAGGCATCCCCACAACTAAACCATTTCTATTCCCCACCTTTATCAAGCACAGATGTGCTCCCCAAAGTTCTAGACCACTTGCAAGTGTTATATCATGTTCACAATAGCTCTGAGGGATATACAATTATTATTCCCATTTTACAGATGAAGAAATGAGTCCCAGAGAAGGTAAGTAATGGCCCCACCTGGCACAGCTGCGAAGCAGCAGAGCCTGGACTCAAACCTGACTAGTTTTGACTATTTTCCCAATACTAAGGTGTTACTTTTTCACTCTGTGCCACGAGGACGGTGTTTTCTAGAGGCCACATGGCCTGTGAGAACATACGTCATCATTCGGACAGCTTGTGAGCAATGTGGACCTGGGTGTCCATATGTTTTAAATTTTTCTCCATTTGAATTTCTAACTGGACAAACACCAATAGATATAACCCATATAAACAAAAACTCTGGGGATCTTTAATTTTTAAGAGTATAAAGAGGTCCTGAGCCCAAAACATGTGAAGGCCACTGAATCAAACACTTATTGAATGTCTTCTTTGTTGCCAGCCCTGGGGAGGGGTCAGTGTTGGTAACACAAGTGAGCAAAGACTGAATCTTGCCTTCTAGAACCTCCCAGTCTTGAGAGAGGAGCCCACACCGTGTTATGTGTTCTGAAGGGCATAAAGTGAAGATGAAATGGGTCATTTTGTCTAGGAAGTGAGGGGATGAGAAAAGCTTGGAGGTGCTTTGAAGTAGGGAGATTTTATTTATTTATTTGAGAGAGAGAATGAGATATATATAGAGAGAGCATGAGGGTCAGAGGGGAAGCAGACTCCCTGCTGAGCAGGGAGCCCGATGTGGGACTTGATCCTAGGACTCCAGGATCATGACCTGAGCTGAAGGCAGTTGCTTAACCAACTGAGCCACCCAGGTGCCCCTGAAGTAGGAAGATTTTAAAGGATAGAAAGGGGCTGGAATTGGATGCACTGGCAAGGGGAACAGCATTTGCAAAGACACAGGCGGGGAAGGACATGTAGGTAATTGAGGATGGGAGCTCTTAAGGGAGTGGGGATATAGATTCCTGGGCAGGTCTGTTCCTGAAATGAACCTCCCAGATTTTCTGTGCTATTTTGCTCCCAACCCTGATGACAGTATTCACTTTTTGCGTGTGTGTGTGTGACAGAGCATCACCGATGTAAGAGGACCCTCCCCATCACTCTCCAGACTGCTATCCTGTTTTATCTTCTTCACAACCCCCTCGCCCACGTGGAATCACATTTCTACCTTTTCACTCTGTTTTCCCACTGGGTTGATGCTTCCTGGGGGCAGGGACTTGTCTGTCATTGTTCATCACCGTGCCCTCGGGGCACAGAGCAGGCTCTGACACAGAACTCTCAAGAAATACTGTGTGAATCCATAGAAGCCGACGGGCTTCACGAGACCTACAGATAACTTCATGCATTTTTAGCATTTCTGTGATATTTCTGACCATTAGAACCCTTTTCCCCCCTCTCTGGGAAAATGGGCCTCACTTCTTCCTCCCTGAGGTCTTTCTTATGAGCCAGCCCCATGGTTCCTTGGGTGCTGGACCAGAAGGGGGTTGAGGAGGTGGAAGAGGCTGGCAGGCTCTGCAATACTGTTCTGGGTCTTGTGTGCCAGGCTCGAGAACGTTCGCTTACACCCTGTAAGCAGAAGGGAGCCCTCAAAGGTCACTGCTTGGGAGACCAAATGCTTCTCAGCTCCCAGTGCTGGACCCAGAGAGCTGGGCTGAGAATTACTCCATATTCTGCGCCCCCCGCCGCTCCCGGGGTCCTACTGACCACAAGAGGGCAGCAGCGAGGAGCCCCTCTGTCCCTCCTAAAGGTGGGGGCCTCGGGAATCAAGCCCCACCAATTGTTGTTTCTTTAGAAAAAGGCCAGGGAGGGTCTATTCTCACACCTTAATGAATTGTCAATGTCTTATGCAGGTCAGTTTCTGAGGGTTGTCATAACAAAAAAGAAAAAGAAAAAAGAAAAGAAAAAAGAGAACAGCTGTTTGGGTCCCACTTAGAGAAAGGGTTGAGAAGGAAATGTTCATTTAACTGAGCCAGGCCAGAATGGGGCACCAGCATAAAAACATCACAAAATTGGATGGATTTTCCCATTTATTGGGTAAACACAGGCAGGCACTGTGTCTGGTGCCGGGAGCCAGGTGGACAGACATGACGGGCGCCTTGAGCTCACAGCCTCCCAGTGGGGGCCACGGTGGGGCGTGGGGCGTCCCCGTGGGGGCTGTGGAGCAAGGAGGCCAGAGCCCGGGGAAAGACCGAGCCTTGAAGGGTGGAGACGCCATGGGCCCACCCAAAAGTTTTCTCCGTCTTCCCACAGACACCCTCCCTAGTTTGGTGAAATTGCGTCAGGCGCCTACTGTGTCCGGCTCTGTGATGTCACCAAGGTGAACATGACCGGTATGGTCCCTACCCCCACCGAGTCCATGGCTGGATTTGAGAGATGAACATTAAGTAGCAAACATGATCTGCGCTATGAGGGAGAGTGCAGGCGAGGGTAAGCATGTGTGATATGGGAACCCCTTTGGGGCGGGGGCGGGGGCTGCCCTGAGGCAGTTCTACTGGAGCTGAGATAGAAGGCTGAGTGAAAGTCGGTCAGGGAAAGGGCTGGGGAGGAATGTTCCAGGCAGAGGGAGCAGTCTGGGTGAAGGCAGTGAGACAGGAAGGAGCTTGGCTCGTGAGGAAGGCTGGTGTAACTGGAGCTCAGGAAGGGAGGTGGGGAGTCTCTGGAGGAGGCCACGAAGGCAACAGGGGCCCGAATTTGCACTGGCATGTTAAGGATATTCTGCAGATTCTGGAAGGCATGCTCAGGAACTTGGTCTCCAGCCCCAGAGCAAGGGGTTTGCAGCAGCAAAGTAGTGACACGGATCAGGTTTGCTTTCTGGCAGCAGATGGAAAGCTGACAGGACTCCGGGCAAGACAGAGTGAAGGGCAAGGTTCTGGGAGTCTGAGGCCTCTGGGGACATCCAAAGGCAGGTGGGTGTGAGGGCTGGGAGAGTCACTAGGTCCTGAGATGACAGTTCTTCCAGATTTAGATCACATATTATCTTCCAGGGGAGGATACTAAGAAGGACCGGGGGCAGCCAGAGCCAGCTGACCATGACAAGGCCTCCCCTCTGTGGTCTGCCCGTCCATCCCTCAGGGACCCTCACCATGAGCCCGCAGAGCAGGCAGCAGTGAGCGCCGTGTTCCAGACAGCGACACGGAGGCCCAGGTGGGGGCAGTGACTTGCCCGAAGACACACAGAGAGACACAGGTAGAGGCAGAGAGCCAGCCGGCATCCCGAGTCCAGTCGTGGGCCCTCTGCATCAGGCCGGGGCCTCAGTCTTTGCCGTCTCCATCCTGGGCCTCCTCCTCGTGGAGGGGTTCCAGGCAGCCCGGGTCCCCAGCCTCTTCCTTGGACACTGGCTTCTCAGAGTCTTCTCTAGGGATTCCATTGGAAGCTTCTGCAGTAGCCTCCATCTTCTCCTTCAGGTTCCGTTTGAAGAAGCCAAACTGTAGGAAGACAAAACTGGAGTGAGGAAAGTCCATGGAACACTCTGGACCAATCAGCCTCGGCAAAACATCAAAGCACCCTTCATGGTAATGAGTCATGCATGCCATGGATGTGTGGTATCCGCTCCAGGGACGGGGCGAGGTATCTGCCACACCAGCTTCCTGGCAGTATGTTGAAAAGCTGTACGTTTAACAGTTTATTCTTCAGGCTCATCAAAATGTCATGGACCAATATTTGGGGTGGGCGGTTTGACAATATCCAGTAATACTAATAGCAATAGCCTGCGCTTACATAGTGCTTAGTATGGGCCACGTACTCTCTGTTGAAAGCTCAGAACATACATATTCTTCTTCTTCTTTTTTTTCAAAACGTATATATTCTTTGGCTTAGCCATTCCAGCTCCAGGAATTAATTCTAAAGAAGTTTTGGACAAGTGTGCAAAGATGTGGGAGCCAAGAGCCTTTTTTGGTCACTGTTTAAAATAGGTGGAAATTAGGGGCGCCTGGGTGGCTCAGTGGGTTAAGCATCTGCCTCTGGCTCAGGTCATGATCCCGAGGTCCTGGGATGGAGCCCCGAGTCGGGGGCGGGGGGGGGAGTCCCTGCTCAGTGGGGAGTCTCCTTCTCCCTCTCCCTCTGCCCCTTCCCCTGCTTGTGTTCTCCCTTGCTCTGCTCTCTCTCTCTCTCGCTCTCGGTCAAATAAATAATCTTTAAAAAAATAGGTAGAAATTACAAACCATCTAAATGCTTATCAGTGGGGATCTTGTTTAAATAAAAGGTGGAGCATCCAGATAGCAGCAAACCAGCCAGGTTAAAGAGTAAGAGGTGCATCTGACTGCTTACACGGAGAGACAGCAAGATAGAATATCCGGCGGGAAATACAAGCTCCCAAGCAGTTTATATGGTATCCTTCCATTTACATTTTCTTCTCTCTCTTTTTTTTTTTAAGATTTTATTTATTTGACAGAGACACAGTGAGAGCAAGAACACAAGCAGGGGGAGTGGGAGAGGGAGAAGCAGGCTTCCCGCAGAGCGGGGAGCCCGATGTGGGGCTCGATCCCGGGACCCTGGGACCATGACCTGAGCCGAAGGCAGATGCTTAACCGACTGAGCCACCCACCCCCATTTACGTTTTCCACCTGTGTACACAGACACTGACTTTTCTCTTTGTCTCTTTCACGCTCACACATATACACATATTTAAACAACAAAATTAGAACCTGGAAGAACAGAAACCGAATGGTTGTTAGTGACAACCCTCTGGGAGTGCAACAGGAAGAAACCAATTTCCTGCGTTGTCTTTTGCTGGAGTATTTGAGGGCTTCATATGGAACATTTGCCCTCTGGCATTCTTCACCTGGCGACTCCCCCTTCAAATCCCAACTCAAATGCCTCCTCTCCTGGGAGGCCTTCCCGGACTTCCCCAGCCTAAGTGAGGCTCCAGCACAAAGGCCCTTGAGTGGAGCCCTTACCATGTGTGCGTCTGTCTGTCTCCCCCATTAGACTGTGAGCCCCGCAAAGGCACGGACCATGTCTGTGGGATGTCGCTCTGTCCCAGGGCCTGGCCCTTGAGACGTGGGCGCAGCCCCCTTCCCCAGGTCCCCAGTCCTGGCTCTGCCAGTGCTTGGTGGAGGGATGGGGGGAAACATCTCCCCTGCTCTTTGGGCCTCACGAGCCTTATCTGTAGAAAGAGGGAGTAGGCGGAGGCCGCCTCTAGCTTTAACGCTCCCTGATCCTGACATTCTCCGCCCCGACTCCCGTGAACCCCCTCCCGAGCCTGGCTGTCTCAGGCAGGCGCGTGGCCTCCAGCAGCTCCCACCTTGTAGAGGACAGCGAAAATCACCAGCAGCAGCAGGAACCCCCCGATGCCGCTCAGCACGTACACGTGGAGCATTTCCTTCTCGTAGATGATGTCAACCTTCATGACGACCTGCAGGGGGAGAGAAGGGGGTGTAAGGAGAAGGCTCTCCCACCTCCAGCATGCTTGTGAATGGTGACGTCTTCGCGTTTCTGGTCGGGACTGCTGCCCGACACCGCCAGGCTGGCCCGGATGCCTCTCCCCAGTGAACCTCCCCGTGCAGCCGCCCGAGCAAGCTGGTAAACGTGCACACCACCCATCGGAAGCCCTGACATGGCTTCCTTGGGGCCCAGAATGAAATGCCAGAATCTCAGCTCAGCATGCAAAACCTTCCAGAATCTGGCTGAGGTGCAGCTTCCCTTCCCCTGCTCCGAGCTTCCTGCCTGGATGGCCTGGGCCCCCACACTCGCTGCTTGCTCTGCTTCGAGCACTTTCCCGTCATGCTCAGAGTGGGTACCCTTTGCTGAGCTGCCATCGAATTGATCTCTGCCTGACACGTCTCAGACGGGTGACCGTGGGGCCCGCTTGCCCACCAAGTGGTGGCGGGGTGCCCATGGCATCCAGCACGGCCTTGGCCAAGGCCGACAGCTCTGAGCGCCGAGAAGCTCTTCCTTCTGGGCCCAGCCCAGACCTCCCACGGGGCCCTCCGGCTTCTGGTTCGAGCTCTTCCAGCTCTGCCCTGGGGCTCCGCGGAGCCCCCTGCTGCCCTCTGTTCCCGAAGCTTCTGAGGAGGCAAAGCCATACCTGGGCCAGTGAGGCATTGCTGCCGTAGAGGTGGAAATGCCTGCTACTGTTGAAGGAGATGGAGAGGGAGCTGCAGAGGCTGAACACGGAGGGGGCCTGCGGGAGGGTTGGGGGAGACGTCAGGCCAGGGGAACAAGGAGCACAGCCCACTGACCTCTGCACCCCACCTCGACTGAGGGGGAGAAGCCGAGGAGAAGGGGCCCCAGTGGGGTGCACCGCGGCTTCTGAGTTCTCTACCGTAGCGTCCTAATGGGCCACGTCCCACGGCTGGAAGGAAATTTTTCCTACAGGGAACCCAGAAGAACCATCCATAGGCCCATGAAAACAGCCCTGCAAATTTCAAGCAAATCATGGTTCTCTTTCATCTGCCACTGTGGAAATATCAGGGCTTTGCATCCGGGTACTAGAGAAAAATGCAGGAAGCCCATCTGGTGGGGAAGCCCACTGCTCAGCCCTCGGGCTCCCCTCACCCCCTGCGTCTGTTGCCAGCAGGTGCTACCTTGATCTCTCCCACCAGCTCCACAGTCCCGTTCACTTGGACGAGGATCTCCTCTTTGAAGACAAGTGGGCAGTGGAACTTGGTTCTGGGCAAACAAGGCTGTCAAAAATGAAGAGAGCAGGGGTCAGTGAGGCCTGTCTTCCCACCTGCACTCTGCCGGCCCCCACCCCAACTTCTGAGCCCATGGGCCCGGACCTCAGCCACACTGGGCAGCCTCTCGAGATCCTCAGGATGGCAGGTCACAGCAGGCTCCTAGGAATGATGAGACGGGGTCTTCGGTTAGTCCAGAGCAGAGAGAGGACGCTGGCCCCTTAAGGCCAGAATGTGGCCTCCCTCCCAACTCGCCGGATCTAGGGCATCCCGGTTCACTCCCACTGGCTCTTGGCAGATTCTGAAATCACTGAGCCCAGCAGGATGCATCTATCCTCACTCCCTTCCCACACATCTGTACCCCTTTATGGGCTCACTCCCACCAACCTGGGTGTCTCTCCCTCCTCTGGGCAGTACTCACCATCTGCACACTCCACTTGTGTGTGATGGGCCCCTCGCTGTGAGGCCCTGGCACCCCAACCAAGGCCTCCAGGGTGGGCACGTTGTGGTCATAGACAGAAGGCTGAATCCTCACCTAGGACAGAGGACACGGGCCCGCAGAGCCCTAAATGCCAGCCGCCCCTCCAGAGGCAATCCTCACTGGCTGAGGCCCGAGGGAGGGGTGGGGGAGACGTTGGGCCAGTGCGGGCTACCTATGCCTCTCTGCCTTCTCCATGGGGCAAACCCTTGCACACCCGGCAAGGTACCACTCAAGTATCATCTCTGATGGTTCGGCTGACTCCCCAAGGGGAGGGCGGCTACCCCGCCATGTGTTCCCCCAGCGCTCCACGTCCCCAGCAGGACGTGGGTCTGTCTGTCCACGGACTACACGCTCCGTGAAGGCAGCAGCTGTGGCTTCTTTCCCTAACAGTTCCCTGCTGCCTGACACACTACTTAGCACACAGCAGGTCTCCAGAAAAATCGATGCTTGAATGAGCAAAAGAAAGAACGAAGGGCACTTAACAAGGATAGATGCAAAAATTGTTTGCACAATGCAGGTTGGGAAAGACTCACTTTGGCGAGGGCACTGAACTGATTTAAGAAACAAGTCCTGAGTACCTTTTAGATGAAAGGGCCAACTGTGCGAGGCCTGGGAGACGCAGAAGCGGAGAAGAAAGTGACTCAGGAGTAGCACCACGGAACCACGGCTCAGGGAGGCCAAACAGGGAAACTAATATCCAGTTGGAGAGGTTCTACCATTAGTCACTTGACAAACGCTTGTGGACGCTTGAAAAATGTCAGGTATATTAAATGGAAAAGGCCTAATGTCAGAGGCAGCATTTGACTTTAACCGTGGAAGACAGAGAGGACTGGAACGGATGAAGATGGCAGAAGGCACCCAGGACGTGAAACTGTGGGGAGTCAGGACAGCACCGGGCGAGTGTGACACAGCGGGAGGTAGGGGGCCTGGGACAGAGAGGAGGTAGGACATACGTCTGGAAAGGAGACTTGGGGTGAGATTGTGTGCCCAGAAGGCCGAAGTCCAGAAATCAGGGGACCCTCAACTAGGCAAGGCAAGTCACAGAAGACAGCTGAGGAGGGCAGGCTCTGGGGGGCTCCCTCACGCCAGGCCCAGAAGGGAAAGAGGCGGGGAAGGCAGGCCGAGGTCCAAGCCAGGAGCCTGTGCCAACAGCTGTAAGAGGGAGAGGAACCTGAGTCTGAACAGTAGTGGGGGCCAAAGAGACAAGAGAATACGGAATAGAAGGTGAGGAGGCGGGCGCCTGGGTGGCTCAGTTGGTTA